GGCAGAGGAAGATGGCTATACAAGAGACATCAATAAAATCTGTGTGGGTCGAAGCAGAGGAATCATGATCTTTGGCTCTACCAGGTATTCTTTTAAGTAGACTCAATGCATAGGTATAATATATTTATTAGTCCAACCTGAAGTTCACATAAATATGCAAGATTTTAAAATCCAATATGTTAATATCTTGCCTGATTAAGAGAGCTGGAAATTTTAAAAGCTTACACTTTTTTGTTATCTTTGAGTTAGCCTAATTATGCATTTTGGATATTTTTTTTCTTATGACCATCATAGCTGCCTCTGTTTTTGTTTTTAAAAGAAGTCTCATCTTTGTAATGACATAGCCTGAATAATCTTAGCAATCTTTGGAATCTTCTGCCATTTCCAACTGCAAACTTTCTACTGTGAGCTTGCCTTTAGCTGCCAAGCCTTCAGTTTAGTTTATTGTTGAACCATGGGTCATTGCTGAAATAAGGGTTATTGTGTTTTCTGAACTCAGCCAAGATAACAAACTATGGTGAACAACCCATAAAGCTTGCAATCTAACAACAAACTAGGGGTTCTCTTCTTGGGTTGTCCATGATTAACAAGCCAAGGCTACTAAGCACAGCTGGGTTCAGACAACAGTATAATCCTTGTTTTTTTTCCCAACAAACCATGTTTCAATGTAAACTCATGCTTACCTCTTGAATATTGAATATGGGTATAGTGTTGTATATAATAATTGTGTGGGGGTTTTTTCTTCGAAAGCCTTCCCAAGTGCCACTGCTCTGTTCAAAACTGAAGTACAACTTTGAGCTTCTTTAAAGCGAAAAAACAAGGAAACATTAGGGCATCTGATCACAGATATGCGGTATCATGTTCATGTGTACTTCAGCTTTAAGATAACCCACAGCCAGGTAACAGAATACTAGTGTACTTGTATTCATGGGGTCTTTTTTCTCTCCCTAGCTTCTGGTTACACAGGGTGATTAGGGAACCAATTCAATTCCAAACAGTAATTCACTAGAGGCCCTTGGTCAAATCATTCCATCTTAGCCTTAAATGCTCAGATCTATACAATGGGAATGATAATGAGGTGCACAAAATTAATGAGACTGGCAAATTGTAAAGTAGGCTTGCATACAGCAATTTCCCTTGGCTAAGAATTACTCCCAAACTGATCAGGATTTTTTTCCCTTTCAGATCTTACGTGAAACAAAAGTATAAGTCTATTCAATTGGACTAATGTAAAAGTAAAGAGGTGGCAAAGAGATGTCAGTGCCGAAACAGAACTCAGCAAGAAATTTAATTCTTGATGCTTACCACAAAGATTTCCCGTACGCTGAACAAGGACAAGGTGTTTTTTTTTTTTAATCACAATTTATATTAATAAACATGCTATCACAGGAATGTCTGTTTTCTTACCTACAAGAGTTTCTGTTATGCTTGTGTTATGGTAACCATCACTGTCAGTACATTTTGCATTTTAATTTCCACTGACAACACAGTTTCCTTCTCTCTACCCACCTAGCATGTGTATATAACCTGCCAATTTGAGATCAACACTTCAAGCATCTGATTAAATGAACACTGTCTGCAAAAACTGATACCATGATAAATCCGCTGAGGTGCCCCAAGATTTTGTTGCTTTTCTGCAACCAACTAAGATGGCTCACATTCCAGAGTCTGTCTGTAAGATTACGCATGATGTGGGGAAACAGCAGCATTCACCTAATGACAATGATGAGTAGTGCAGATTTAGTACAAACAAGAAGAAGTGCTTCTTCACATGTGGCATTCAGAGAGACCAAAAGGAAAGGGCTGCTCACTTCAAGCCTTGCTTGCAGGTTTCTAGGTAATATGCTGAATTAAAGGGACATTAGGCCTGATCTAGCTGGATTCTTTTTATATTAATCTTTTTGTATAGGCTACAAGTCATTCTGCAGTTTAAAAAAACACAGTGGCATATGGCATTCTGTATATGGAAAAACATAAATAATTAGAAAAATCATTAACAGCTTGTCCTAACTTTTTTTAAAGATCAACTGAAAGGCAGGCAGGGAACAACACCGACCTTAGGAACTGAACAGACATGGAATAATGCATGCCTTCAAGATGCATAAATCAAAATATTAAACAGAACATAAGAAGAGCCATGCTGGATCTGACCAGTGGCCTATGCAGTCTAGCACTCTGTTCACATCGTGGCAAACCAGCTGCCCACAAGATTCTTCAGGCAGGATGGGGACAACAGTTTCCGCCCACTCAAGTTCTTCAGCAATTGGTGCATGCAGGCACACCATCAGTGAAAATTTCACTAGGTCTCAGTATTCCTAAATTGGCATCTGAAATATCGTACCTAGTATTTTTAAGTTAAGGTGTAATCAAGTATTTTTAGTTAAGGTGTAATCCTTTTAAACACAAACCTAGTCTTTCACCAAATGTACTGCAATCCCCAGCCCAAAGTTCTAAGTAATTTCAATGGAACAGATTTCCAAAAGAGGGAGGGGAGTAGAAGGTAAGAAACCCAGAGACAGGTTAGATAATTTGATAGGCAAGTGTCTGTTTACCAGCTGATACTATCCCTACTGAGTTCCTTTGTAGGGCTCACAACAAGAGGCTTGGAAGAGAGACCAGAAATACAACGATAATGGGGATACAGGGGCATAGATAACTGGTTTTTCTCAAATTTGCATAATAGCAAATGAACAAGGACAACATTGAGGATAGAAGAAAACCCTTCACTGGTCACAAGCATTTTCTTTGATGAAATGCAAGCCTGCCTGGTAAATATTCCAAAACTTTACAGATGCAAGCAGCAGGCTCTGCTTATGACCAAGACATCCACAATTCTGCACATGAGCACAGGATTCTGCGCTTACAAGTTCTGTAAGATAAACTTGTACTCCTGTTTTGCAACTTGTTTTCTTGTTTTCCATAACTCATTTTGCTATCTTACATCTTGGTGGTCAAACTGGAGTGTCCCAACAAAGACCAGGGAAGTAGGAATAGAAATGAAATCAGGAAGAGGCTAGGGTTAGCTATGAAATGCTGTGCATGGTACTCTTATGCAGACAGACAGAAGTCCTGCTTACTGCTTTTGCATATGATACTATGGTATAGTATTTACCAGGCAGGTTTGCATTTCATCAAAGAAAATGCAGAACTTGGTTAAGGGTTTTCTTCTACCTTGAAAGCTGGCCTTATTCCTTTTCCATTGGGTATGTCTAAGTTGTCATTATACAAAGCAGCACACCGATTTCTCTCTGCTCATCAATCACAATGTAAGCATGACATGTGGGAATACTAAGGGCATATGCATAACCAGAGCTTTCAGTATAGGAGGAGGGGCCATGCCTGCTGTCTCATATCTAACTGGATAAAGGAAAGATATCCACCAGAGGTGAGTGAAATGGCATGTTCCAGCACAGTTCCTCTCCCAAATGCCAGCCCCCACAAAACATTTGGCTTCTTCTGTGGCCAGGGGTTTCTCTGGCACTAGGAGCAGCTCTCCAGCTCTGTACTCCAAGCCCTTTGCTGCAGTGGCTGGACCACACAAACACTTTCCCTCCCTTCCATTTGCAGGCATTACATCACCGCCAGGGTACAGCTTCTGCGGCTGAGAATTACTTTTGGCTTCCTTCCTGCCTCTTTGCCCTCCCTTGCTTACCAGAAGGAAACCTAAACGCTGAAGCAAAACAAAGAGTCACCTGGCAAGCTACTGCTTGCCAGTACCCCAAAGCTAATCTGTCTTCTGGCATGGGAAGCTATTATCATGAGCTGTAATTTTTCAAAGCTAGAACCTGCAGGAATGTGAGCACAGACTTTCATGATGCCATTGAACAGGGGTGGGGAGCAAGGCACAGTGGCACCAAGCACGGGCTGAGGAACTCTCCTTGGCATTAAAAGGACTTCTGAGATTCCCCATCCACCCCTCATGGGCAGAGTTGTGCCTCCTCAGTTTATAAGGGAGCAAGACAACAGGCACTTTGGGAAGCATAGCAATCAGAACAACATCAAAAAAGCCATGCCATCTAGCCGGGCATTCTTGTCCTGCAGTGGCCACCCCATGGGAGCCTACCAGCAAGACACAAGTGTGATGGCCCCCTTCTGTTCACGTTCCCCAGCAACTGATGTTCCCAAGCAGAACAGCCACTGATAGTGGAGATGCCTCACAGCCTTCCCAACTCTTGCTTGGCTAAGTCAAAGCTTCCCAGGTCCTAATGTACTGGACTACAACTCCCACCATCCTTAAGCCAACACATGTGTTGGCTGGGGATAATGAGAGTTCTAGCCCAACACAACTGGAGGGTGGCAGGCTGGCGATGGCCCATCTAGGAAAAAGGGGGTTGGTTAGGGCCACTTTGCTTCCTCCTTAAGCCAACCCCCTTCCAATGTTTACTTTTTCACAAAGTGGGAGGAGAGGACATCTGTGGCCAAGCCCCTGCGCTGAGGGGCGCTTCTCGCTCGAGAGGAAGCCCCGGGTGGGACCAGCACGGGAGCACCTGCTTCTCGGCGTTTGGAAGCCTCCCTCGTTCGCGCGCAGGTCTCTACCTGAAGTCTTGCTCTCAGGTGGGGGCAATGCACAGTGCGGCGGGGGCACCTTGAAAAGTAAGCCCACCTCCTCTATCTCCCTTTCTTCACGCACCGTGCCCCCCACCTCACGCGGGGTGGGGGGCTCCCTGGAAGAAGCGTTAGGAGAGGGAAGCATCCCAGGAGGACACCCCGGACAGATGAAGCCCCTCTCCGTAAATCGACGGCAGCGAACCGAGACGGCTCCGCGCGCTGCGCCCTGCAAAGCGCACAGCCTGCAATCTCGCCAGGGCGCTTCGGCTTTCCCCGTCTGGCTTTCCGAGGAGCAGCGGTGGGAGGGACGACGCCGACAACGCTCCCCCGCCCGTAGCCAGATATCCCGGAGTTTCCCCCTTTCCCAGCCGCTCTGCCTTCCTTCCCCGGGCCTGGCAGCGGATGGCCCCTTTGCTCGCTCGCTCGCCTCTCCCTCCGGGTTAGGGACTTACAGAAGCTCCGCCGCTGCTTGAAAGGCCGGTCCGCGGGCATCTCGGCAGGGGATCGGCGGCACTCGAGGGACGAGATCCTCGTTAGCCCGCAGAAACCGCGGCTGGAGCGGGGAGGGCTCCGGGGCCGCCTCGGAGACGCCGCCTGGAAGGCCTGATGCGGAGCCGGGCAGCAGGTGCTTGCGGGCAGTTAAAGCCAACCAGCCGGCCGCGCTCCTGCCTCTCCCCTCGCCGCCGTTTGCCCCTGCTTGGACGACCCACTCCGACTCCCGAGGCTGGCAAAGCCGCGGTGACTTCATCGACAGCCTCCTTAAAGGGGAGGCGCGCGGGCCCGCCCCTTCTGCAGTGCGGCCTCCTTGCAAGGGGCGCAGCTCCACCGCCAGGCCGGGGCTGTCCTTGGGGCTTTTTCCGCAGCTGCGATCGGGAGGGGGTTAAAGTTTCACTAAATGACCGAACAATGCAGAGGATGCCAGAGGCCGAGGGCAGAGCGCAGTTTTTCCTTAGGCAGTGAGCGATTGCCACAGCCCGCCCTCCCACCAAATGCTATTAGGGAAGGGGGTGATCGGCGGAACTTTGTATGAAAGGATGTGAAGGCCAAAGATTTGAGCAGCCGAAGAAATAATGCAAATCCCAAACTCAGCGACTCAAATCAAATTTAGCAGAATCCAAAAGTTGCTTCCCCTTCTTTCCTTAAAATATATAATCACACTGGAGCACATAATACTCCTTCCTTCAGTGACAGGACAGATACAACGGGAGAATCTGTGTAGAAAAATGTTCCGCTGCGTATATACCGAAGAAATAATCTCACAGCGATGCTTTGGAGACACAGCAGGGAATGGAGTTCAGTCTCGCTCAGAATATCTCCAGACAGGTTTGTGGAGGGTGCCTTTCATGCTCATGCCATTTGGCATAATTGCCCTGGCTGGGCATGGGTTGTAGTTACCTGCAAGCCTGGCAAGGGTGGTTTACAAACTGAAAACCTAGAACAAGCCATAGCTTCAAGACAGTCTGTAAACTTCCCCAACCAACTGGCTTCATCAGGTTCTGACATCACAACAACCTGTGCCAGAGTAATTATGCAAATCAGGCCAACCTACTCCTTGACTGAGTTTTGTGGCTGAGAAATTAAGCCTAGGCACATCATGGAAAAAGCTTCCAATTGAGTCCTTTGTCTGCTGGGCTAATTTTCCAGTTGCAGGAAGGTTGGAAGACAGAAACATTGGGCCAATTTACAGGGCACAAACTTCAGGTGAGGCTGCAGTGCATGTAGGGCCTGTGCAGCCATACTTTTGCACATCTAGCCTCTGCTTGGTTGTTACTGTGTCATGCAACCCAGTAAGCATGGGGTACATGGGGGATAAATAAGGCACTATGGCTGGTTGTGGGTTAAATAACCCAGGAAGACTCTCTGCATGTTTTCTGCACCTGGACAGATTGGAGCCAGATCACTGAAAAATGTGATCCCTTCCAGTCTGTTACAGTCTATTTTGTCACCTTCATCTAACACAATTTTGTAGAAAACAAATTCTGACAATATTTGTACGGAACAGAAAACACCTAATTTTCAAGTTATTGCCAGTGAATTGCTTTTAACTGATTTTCTAAAACCATGACTCATCGGTTTCTGTAGATGACAGAGGAGGAGGTATTGGGAGCTTCATTGGGGGCAGGAGCCCTTGAAGCTCCCTCAAAGTTGCTGCCCTTAGTTTCCCAGACTGGCTGTTTGATCAGGAAGCGCTAGAGGGGTTTCCAGAGAGGAGAGAGACCAGCTGCCTTATCTTTTCCCTGACCCTGTGGTAAGGGCTTGTGTAGGCCTTGCTGACTTGCTTTCTACCAGCAGAAGTCACTCTGAGGTTGAAGTCACACCATGAATAGAGTGGTGGGACTGGGGAGATGTGCCAGTATGGGTTCAACTCTCTTTACATGAGAGGAGGCTTATCATTCAGCTCACTAGAAGACAATTTAGAGCCATGTTGTTAGCTGTCAAGTTTCCATAAAGATCTGCATTGTGTGCTATAGCATTGGATTGCCTGCTGTTTTAGAGGCTAAGGAGGGCAGGGTTGGGCTCATGCCAGCAATGCATCATTAAGGGCACAAATCTATGCATGTTCAGACAGAAAAAATCCTACAATTCCTAGCATGCTGGCTGGGGCATGCTGGGAGCTGGAATACATTTTTATACAAGCATGCCTAGGATTGCATCCTAGGCATGCTTGTGAGCCGCCCCGAGGCTTCGGCGAATGGGGCGGCATAGAAGTCTCCTAAATAAATAAATAAAATGGTTAAAATCTTAAAGAGAACACGGCCAATTTGCATGCAACAGCAGCTCTCTAGTTAAACAAGCCATGACCTGTAAGAGCAGCATCAACTGAGTTGATGGGTTATTTTCTCCACAACTGTAATATCAGTCATACCTTAAACTCTTTAATCCTTTATCTTTCTTCCAATTGGAGTTATCACAACCATTAATAAATACAAAAATAACTCCTGGTGCAAACCCATTCTCTTAACATTTACTACAAAACCAACCTAAATGAACTAACACACCATCTTGCTTATTTCTCTGGTTATTCTTTTCCCATGTTTTGACTTTGGCCCATGCATGGAGAAGTTTTCTGCTCCAGTTTCTCCAGCATTTCCTTGTTTTAGAATCACACAGATCGTAGTTACTTATCAGTAGTTTGAAAAGTACTCTTCTGCTCTTTCTTGATATTCAAATTACTATTTCTAAAAGTAATTAAACAAAGAATATTGAGAATAAATAGTTCGACTTCGATTGGGTTTTGCAGACAGATGTGCTCATGTCTTGTTAAGGCTCATAAGATATTACAACAGGCACTGCATTTCTCAGCAAGAAGCTTATGGGTTGTACTAATCTCCCAGGGTGGTTTCCTTAGAAGCTAGAGTGGGCTTAGTGTTTTGCTGATACCATTTACACTTCTCCACAGGCTGAGCATCCTTTTCCCCAAAAGTTTTTTAGAGGAAGCCAGAGTGCCATGGTCGCGATGCGTCCCTGCGTCCGACACGACTTCAGCAACAACAGCAACAACAACAATAGTGCCATAGAGAAGTTCAGAGGAGAAGTTAGAGCTACAAAGAAGCCTCTTTTTTGAACACTAAAGATTTCAAGGCAAAACTGCTGAAGCTATTCCTCAAGCATTCAACTTCATGTCCTAAAGGGTTTTTTTTAATAACATCACATATGTTAATTGGCTCACCATTGCCAGGATGCCTATCTTATCACCCAGTCTTTTGTGATGGACAAATATAATCATCCTTGTCTGCACTTGATTCACTTCAAGTAGTGAATCAGACCATTTCTGTCTTCCTCCCACTTGTGACTCTAAAACTGAGGTTAACATATCAGATGAAGCAGGTATTGTCCTTGAAAGTTTATGCCAGAACAAATGTGAGTCTTCAAGGCACCATAACATTTGATGCTTTTGGCTTCTTTTAGGTCCAGCTCTAGGACTATTGAAAACATATATATTTTAATTTTTACTTATGAGGACCTAACTTTTTGTTGTAAGCCTCCCCGAGGTTTTGGCGAATGGGGCGGCATAAAAATGTTTTAATAAACAAACAAACAAACAAACAAGGGGATAACTGGTCCCTGCCTCTTGGCCTAGTAGTAGGACAAACGAATGAATAATCTTTCCTTCCGTTTATCCCACAGACATATCCTGGCAGGCCTGGCCACATCAACATTGTGCTAGTAGTAGAAGATGCTTCCTAGTAAAAGCCCAAATTCTTTTACAATCAGAAAAGCTTCCTGAAAGCTTATTTAGACTAACTCCAAGCCCACAACCACTCAAAAATAAGTGAATTCCTCTTCTTAGGGGGTGGGGGAAGCTTTTCCTCCATTTTGTCTCCTTAATAGTATTAACAGAGAGACAGCAGTCCATTCGAATAATGTTTTATAGGATAGCAATGCAATTAACTGAATACAATTTAAATCTACTATTTAGTCCAGAGTGTATTAAGGCTGTGCCAAACTTCAACAATTAACATGGATTTTAACTCTCAGATCAGTCATGTAGTTTAATTAATACATTAATTATTTTCTATACCACCCATAACTGACGCTCTCTGGGCAGTTTACAATGTGTGAAGACTGAAATACCTAACTCTAGTTAGCCACATTTCCTAAATAAATACATCATGAAATAGGGACAAAGTGGGAAGGAAAAAACACTTTAAAAAACAACAAACAAAAAAGCTAACCAACTGGGCTATTTGTTTTTGTTGGGATACACTGTTACGGTTCATGTACTATCATATTTGAAATATTTAAAGAAAACTGGATCTTTACATACATTTAAATGATTTCTTCATATTGTTCCAAAGTACTTATTGGGGTGAAGGTTAACCAACCAAGAGTCAAAAATCAAGGAACCTTAATGAGATCATGCCACACAAACCTATACATCACTTTAGGATGATGTTTTCCATAAGTTTGCAGAATAGTATTGCAAAGCAGCACTCGTGTTGAAACTATGCTGCATCATCTATTGTGAAAGTATGTTGCTTCTCAGAGGAATGCTGTGTCAGTATAAATAATTTTAAGAAAAACAGCAATTTTATCTTGGTAACTAAAGGCCTCTGACACGTTTATTAATGCAAGAACACAAAACAAGTTTCTTTGAGTATTTTAATGCATTTCAAAGGAAATAGTCTCTTCCAGATGTAAACAAGTCACAAAATAAAAAAGAAATAAAAGGAGAACTTATAGTCATTAGAAATATAGACAACAGTTACATAAAGTTATTTTCAAATCTAACAGGAAAAGAAAAACCTATCCTGATTTCATCACCTGTCTTCTCCATGGAGTGATAGTTTGGTTAGGTAAAGATTTTTAAAAGAAATTCTGCTTTAACATTATTAATGCAGCACATAATTACTAATGACCATTTTTGTATATTAAATAAAAATATATTTAAGTATAAGGAACAGTAGATCAGATGAGTTTGGGAAGCTTTCACTCTGTTGGATTCTGAATGACAATTAGGAAGTAGTCTTTATCTGAAAGAAAACAAAATAGTTACTTTCAAATCTTCTATTATGCATGTTAATTCACATGTAAAAATTCTAGCTCAATGTCCCCCCCCCACACACACAGAAATAGCATTTTGGTTGTTGGGTGGTGTAGAAATTAACATACATACATACATCTTCAAGGAAGGCCTCTTATTCATATAGCTGCATACATGAGATTTGGAACACTGATATGCACTGCTACATGCAAGATACATGCAGGTTAATCCTTGTAAAGCCTACCCATGGGTTATGAAAGGGTTGTTTAATTCTTGTATAGCCTACACTCAATTGGTGGCTGCATATTCAGTTTGGTGCTCATGGGCCCCATGGCTCATAAACTGCGTGAACTGTTTTAGGGTTGTGTGGCAATTGAACAATCCAGATTTACCAGGGTGACAACCTACACGCAGTGGTTGCAAATACAAGCTGGAACTCATGATCGCTGCTGCTCATTGTGCGTTAATTAACTCACACAAGTTACAGCAGGTCTGTTGACAGTGTTGGGCTCAAGGTCAGGGCCTTGAAATAAACACAAAATGGGCTTTTAAGTAGTGCAAATGAAATCATTATCTGAGCAAACATCCGGATGACACATTTCTTGGGACTTAATAAAATACCTAGGCTCTCTCTAGATGGATATTTGACATTTTCACTTAAGCTTTCCCTTAATTATAGGCTTTTAGGACCAAAAGCCTTTTAAGTCCTGTAAGGTCTAGACCCACTTTATCAGTGATAGAACAGTGGGTTTATTATGAAATAATGGGTTGGATCTAAAGAAGGATGAACCTCCACTCATGTGGTAGGGCCTCTTTGGTTTCATTCAAGATTGTAGTCCTTTAAGCCCCGCAAAAAGTTACTTATGAGAGTTTATAGTCTGTTAGGGGCAGCATATGATAGAGCATGGGGGGTGTCACAACAGCAGGTGAGGGAAATAGGGTAAAATAAGGGGGCAGTCTTGCATGAACAGAAATGTCTTCCTATTTCTACAAAACATACCAATCTATGGTCTACAAAAGTATCCTAGCAGAACCTTAAAGATTAACACATTTATTCTGGCATACATTTCATGCATGCTGTCCACTTCATTACCTGCATGAAGGGCTGACCTCAAACAGGCAGCTTTATATTTACATGAGAATTGTGTTGCCAGGGTGAATTAAAATGAAGAAAGTACAGGCAGCCATGATGACCTTAAAACCTGCCACTCATAAAACATTGGGCAATATCATGGACATCACTGCAATGGCAAGGCGATTAACATATGAAGTGTGAAGAAAAGCCTTTGTCCTTATTCAGACCCCAGGACACAGTCTCAAATCTCTTCATGAACTATCATTTAGCATTTTGCATTGACAGCTACCTTGGAAATTTATTTAATAACTGCTTTGTTCAGGAATGGCTATCACCTCTTTTCTGCCCTTCTAATAAAGACACCCCATCTGTTACTTATTGCAAGCAAGTCTGTGTTATCACCAGGGCTTTTTTTGTCATAGAACTCACCTTTTTTTCCAATGGATTTTACGAAGTGATTTTGAATCATAGCAGATCAGCAGCAAACATCATTAACATAGTGCCTGCAGGCTGCTTTTGTGTCTGCTATCTGCTAGTGAGGGCATTGGGATTGGTGTGTGTGGTCCGCGCTTACTGCGACATGGGTTCTGGCACCTTTTTTTTTTTTTTTTTTTTACAAAAAAAGCACTGGTTATCACCAAAAAGATTTTATGAATGACAGCTGTTAAAGTAATCTTAGCTGTCTATACTTCTTGCAGTTCAGGTCCTTCTGACAAAATTTGTACAGTGCTCTCTACATCCAGTATGTGAATAGAAATGTGTCAATTTGAGATAGGCAACTGATGAAGTGGACAGTGTCCCTGCAAGTTTATGCTGTAATAAATGTCTTAGTCTTTCAGGTGCCACCAAACTCTTGGTTGTTTTGCTGAAACAGACTAAAATGGCTACGTCCTCTGAAAATTGCTTTAATGGAATGATTTCATGAAGTTCAGCCCTAAAACCCAACTGAGACTCAAATGCAGGGATGGCATTTCTCAATGTGAACTCTACTGAGACACTTCAAACACATCAATGTTTCAAAATTAACTGGAGCTGATATAAAACGTTTAAATAAAAACTATCTATATAAGTATAGAATGCTTATGGAAATAGCTTAACTAAAATCACATCCTGAAGTGAAGGAACCAGAGTAAATGTGCTTGATTCAAGCACAGAGCTGATGGGCAGATGTCTATAGGTCTCATATTTGACACTCTAGATATTTACATATTCAGTAAGTCCCAGAGAACAATCTGATTAGGACTCAGAGAGAAGCTTTTCTGAAACAAAGTACATTTAGACTTTGCATCTATCTGGACAGATGTCTACCTAGAACCCACTCTACTTTGATCTTCTTGAAGTAAGAGTATGACTTAACCATATACTGTATTTCCATGTAAGATTTACAACTGGAGATAATCAAATGCTTCTTTGGCATTGTAATGCTCCAGAAAGATTACCTGGCGCAATCATGATCTCATTTTTCTTGGAGCGGATCCGCAGGAATGTGAGGTCATTCTGGGGATCAATGTCTCGCACAGTGCCCCGTGCCTTCATGATTAAGTTGTGCATTAAACCTGCGTACTGCATTGTTGTGGAATTATCCATGGTGGTTTTGATGGGAATACCTGCAAAGTGCAAAAAGAACCTGCAGATAACTTAAGCAAAATCATTAGTTGATAAAGGAGCTGGTGCTGGGGTGGGGTAGTGAGAGGCGAAGCTCTGCTGGGATATGAGGAATCCTGGCAGCGCTTCAGACCCTCTTCTCACCAGAAGGGTGAGGCATTTTGCAAAGCAGAAGTACAGAGACAATCCTTGTCTATTCACTGCTCCCATGCAGCAACCTCATGGGATGGCATTCTTAATGGGTCAAATGAAAGGACTAGAAAACTGACTCATGTTGATTTGATGGTATAATATTTAGATTAGAATTTTCACTTTAATGCTTCTCATTTATTATCACAAGCATAGCACTCAAAGCAGTTTTTCTTTGCTACTGGTGCTGCAAGTCTGTGGCAGAATCCAACAGGATAGCTAGACATCTGCTGATTCTCTTACCCCCTGCAACAAACTGCAGCACCCACCACTTTCATAATGGTGACTCCATACTTTCTGCACAACCCAAAGCAAGCAGAAACACTCATTGCTGGAAGAAGGCAGGTTTGCAATGCTTTAATGACCTGTCCTCTTCCTGAAATGACCATGACTGCTTATTTTGGGGATCCCTTTAGGGAGTGCTAAATCTCTCTTGCATAAGTGGTGAATCCCCCCTTGAGCCACTGAATTGGTGGGACCTATTGGCAAGTCACAAAGCAATAAGTAGGGCATAAGTACCTCTTGTCCTTAATTAGGTGTCAATCCTATTAAATTCTGAGGGGCTTACTGATGCGCAGAATCAAACTATAATGCAGCCTTCCTGAACCTGGTGACCTTCAGATATTGTTGATCTACAATTGCCAGCATTCCTGACCCTTGGTCATGCTGACTGGGGCTAGCAAGAGTGAAAGTTCAAAACATCTGTAGGGCCCTCCACTGGGAAAGTCTACTGTGATACAACTGGCTTTAGCATTAAAGGCAATAGGTCTAGTACTATGCAAAATGGATGAGGCTTTCTGCGATGGGAGCAGCATAAAAATGCTATAATAAATAAATAAATAAATAAAATACTGTAATTCACTCTCCTCTTTTTTTATACAAGGGGCAGGCAACCTCTGGGGTGTGGGCATGCACTGGCCCCCCAGAACACCAGGGAAGGTCACATCCCTCCCACTGCTGAAATTTCAGTGATCCTGCTGGGAAGCAAGGCGCATAAACCTTGTTTTCCATCAGAACTGGGCTTTTGGCAGTTTGTCAAACAGCTGCTTGACAGGCTGTCAGATATAAAGTCTTGCAAAGAGAGTACACAAAAGGAAATTAACATTAAAGTATCACATAGTTTGGGAACATGGCTCAGGCCAATTGACAGTGCTTAATGAGCAGCATAAGCGTCTCTGTTAATTCATATGATGGGAACTGAATGATTAATGTTGCATTAATGTTCAGAAAGCTTTTACATCTAGATTTCAGATTAGTTTCTGCAGACTATTTAATACACATATATTGTTCTTCTACGGTTCACTGCACTAGATAGTTTACAAAACTACCTTCATCCAAACTGCAGACAAACTGTATAGTGTGCAAACAATAAAGCAGTCATTATATTATTGGCAATTTACTAGAAATGCCTGAAAGGCAAAGGATGGCACTTGGCCAGTAATTTCTCCAGAAACATTCTACACTGATATTGCTAATTCTTGGGGCTAAACAATGTCTTTTAAAACAGATCATCATGAGTATGCATGGGAAAAACTAATGAAATCCCTGAATATTAAACCATTGTCATTCAACATTTTATTTTATTTTCTTCTAAAGAATAAGATTCCAGTGTTTCCTTCTCTGGAACTCTGGGATGGAGGTTTCTTACACTTCAGAATTGAAATCAAGTTACATCTAGGATTGCCACATGCTTCTCCAACTGTGTTATGTCATGTTAATCACCCAGCAACCTGCTAATGCCCAGATTATCACCCCAGAACAAAAGAGAGAACTGGAGCAGCTGGAGCAAAAAATGCATATATTTGGCTGCATCTATGCTCATGCTAATTTTGCAGACATGGGAAATGTCATTTTAAAACTGACAAACAACAGCACTATTGTGGTACAATTGCTTGCATACTAGTTTGGATTAGATGTATGGTTGTGGACAAAGTCTCTCTTAGCTTCAACTAATTTTACACTTTCCATGTGTAAAATTAAAAATATTATTGATTTACTGCAAAATAGCAGTTTGGGTAGAAAAGTTTTATATTGTATTTTGTACTTTTAAAATCCCAAGTCACAAACAGCTCCTTAAAACTGAGAGATGCTCAGAAAATCAGAAGATTTAAAAACCCACTACATGCTGCCTGTTAGCCACTTCTCATTTCTGCGAACAACCTCATAATTGCAGTGGTTGTGACTATGATGTATGAACCTGGAGCAATGGGTTGTTTAGGGGCTAAACAATCCAGCAGGTGACCCATGGCTTGTTGCTAACTAGTGGGTTGTTTAACATCTGAAGAACCTATCAGTATGGGGTAGGATGTCATACTGACATCTTTCAATTACACTGATTAGATAATAAATAAACAATAATAAAATGGCCTGCATGTAATGCATATCCCTGCAAATCATGGGTTAATTAATTAATCTACCGCTGTATGTCACTGGGGTTGGCCTTAATGGTCCCTACCAACTCTACCATTCTATGATAGGAAGAGGCAAGCACAAAGGCTGAATACTTTAATAATAATACTGGATCAACATTATCTGAAATTGTAATACATATTTCTAATACCCAGATGTGTTCGTCCAACCACTTAACAATATTGTTGCTCGTCCTCCGAGAAGAAAGAACAATGACATGAAGAAATATGTGTGCAATGATGTGGGGTAAATTTTCTGGTGTTTATTTTTCCACAAGCTTCCATTGCAGAAGCTCATCTGTAATAATGAATGGATGCCATACAGACATACAGTATTAGGAAGCCTGGCAATTTCAGACTTGTAGCTCAGTGGCTGTAGTGCACAGTGCTTTAGCTTGCTAAAAAGTATCAGTGTTTTCAATACTTACATGTCTCCTTCCATAGCCTTTAAGCTAAATAATGAAAGGGAAGTACACGATGTTGTCTTTAAATTTTTACAAGTACAGTGGTACCTCGGCTCACGAATGCCTTGGTTCACAACCAAATTGGGTCGTGAACAAAAATTTCATGAAAATTTTGACTTGGGTCACAAACTCTGCACTGGGGGGCGACCAAGGTTGCAGTCATCTCCCCACCCCGCTGAGTGGGGAGATGGCCACGATCGCAGTTGCGTTCATGCAGGGAAGGCATGCGGGATCACAGGCGTGCTCCTGCGGGAAAGATGGGTGCAGCCCAGAGCAGCACAGCCGCGATCACGCACATCTTCCCTGCATGAACGCGACTGCGATCGTGGCCATCTCCTCACTCGGGGATGGGTGGGGAGATGGCCGCGATCATGCTGGTTGGAGGGGGGAGATGGACAAGATTGCGCCTGTCTTTCCTGCAGGAGCGTGCCCATGCCAGGATTTCATTGAGAAGCACCACCCCAACATAATTGTAATGAACAGAGTGTTGAATCTGATGAACTATAACATGGTCTCTCATTTCCAGAGGGTTATGCAGTGCAGGAAAAAACAAGTGACTATAGACAGATTTTTCACCAAAATTGACCCTGCAGCTAAGAGAAAAAGAAGAGAGGAAACCCCTGAAAGAGATCTCCCCAATGTCCTTATGGAGGGGGACTCTCCCTCAAAACAATAACCTCTCCCCTACCTAGGTTAGTGTTCTCCACTGTACTGTACAGTACTTTGTTACTTCGTTGTTCTTTGTCACTTTCTTTCAAATTTTTCTGATTAAATAAAATTGTTACATAATAGATTAACCTTATTTACATTGAACCTTATGGGGAAATTTGACTTGACTCGCGACCAAAAATTGGCTCACAACCACATTCAGAGGGGCCAGAATGGATTAACCTTATTTACCTTGAATTTTATGGGGAAATTTGACTTGGGTCACAACCAATTTGGGTCACAACCAGAGTCGTGGAACGGATTAAGTTCATGAGCCAAGGTACCACTGTATTCCACTAAAATGTCTACCTATTATGTACATTTTAATTTCCTCCCTGAAATATTTCAGGTTAAATATTTGTAGTGTTTGGGGGTAAAAAAGTAACATGGATACTTTTGTGGGCACTGTTTACTAAATACAAGTAAAATAAACACACAAAATTATAACACTCTCTAGAGCAGCCATCCAGCTTCATGCACTCCGGATGTGCTGTATTTCCAATTCCTAGTCACCATGGCAAATAGAACTGCTGGGTGGTGCAGCTGAAAACATCTGGAGGACTCCAGGTTTGAGGAGGTTATGATGCAAACTGATTTTTTCTGATGCAAATTACTCCATGCAAATTATGCCAATCTGCTATGCAAACTATGCTAATTTGAATAGGGACATCTGGGAAACCTGTATCATGACCAATTTGGTTTGTAAGTAAAGGTAGATTGGGTCCTATTTGACCCACAAAGGGCAAGTTTTGTTAAAATGAACAGACATCACAATACCTTCTGCATTAACAACAATGATTCCCTGGACTCCCTTTTGACTCTGAATTCGCTTCAGAGTTTCTTCCACCTCAGCCTGGAAGAAGAAGAAAAAAAGGATATGCTACCATGTCTTGGAAGTTGCAATGTGTTTGAAAATAATGTTTGTAGTAAGACATCTGGAAAAAGAAAAATATTGAAATAGGTATTCCACACAAAAAAGCACACTACCTCTATATCAATGCTTGAGCTTTTATTAAGGCCATTATTTTTCTCCCTTCCTTTGGAAATAAGCCCCTAGAAGCCAGAAACTAGTTTTTATTATCCTTCCCAGTTGCTTTTCTTGTAACACGAAAAATCCTCATGGAAGCCAATGTGCTAATGTCAATGAAATCCTGATTCACCAACGAAGATGTAACAGCAAACGGCTCCTCACACAGGATTTTCTATAGGGACATTGTCTCCATGTAGGGAAATACCTGAAAATGAAACTTTGAAAGTCTGGTGCAAATATTTAAATTCTGATGTAAGCATAACCCTGGCAAGTCACCACTGTGTGTAGAGAACAAAAGGGGTGAGTCCAAGTACTAAAGGCGATTCTGCCTTATCTTTAATGGATTCTGTCTGGAAAGTTACAACAGCAACAACAACGGGACAGTGGGAAAACATGCAAACTAAAGATGACAGTCTCTGGAAAAATCCCCAGTGAAAGAGGTATTGTGTGACAGCACAATTTAAAAAATCAACCAAAGCACCCACAGATCAGTGCCAGTGGGATGCAGACTCTCTTGAAGGGTCATGATCCTGCCAAATTACTTGCAAGAGGGCAAAACTACCCTGCAAAGCAGGGGGTAGGGTTGCTCACAAATGATTTTATCTAGATAAGAGCAAACCTATTTAGCACTGTATTGCATCTCTACAGCCAAAAGGGATATAGAAACCCCTACATGGGTCATACATGACAACAACACATATGATCAGTTTTTGAATTGTGGTTTGTTTTTACATATGAGCCTTCCTAATCTGAACCCAAAATGAAATATGCTTCTGTTCTCTTGTTATGAAAACAAATCACAAAACTACCACAAATAACCTAGGCTACTCATTAAGCTAAAAAGATACTCTTGTTAAAGGGGATGTGAATACTCAATTATCCCCACAATTTATTGTTACTTTTGAAAGGTATGCATACTTAAGAATCACAAATAACTTTTCATTGACCTGAACTGTACTCAGCTAAATAAAGAATGTAGCATTACCCACCAATACACTGTAAAATTATCCTCTTTTTAAGTGTAATGCAATGTGATATAAAGGTTAATGTTAATGCTATGGGGTCAGAAAAGTTAAGAACAAGCTTTTCTGCTAGACATGATAGATCAGGCCAAGACTCCATCTAGTCTAGCATTCTGTTCACAAGGAATCATGAGCTGCCCATCAGAAACCCACACTTAGGAAATTAGTAAAACAGTACCCTCCTGTCTCTTGTCCTCCAGCAACTGGTGTGCATTGGTATACTGCCTCTGATAGTGGAGGTAGTAGCCACTGCAGCTAGTAGCCACTGATAGCTTCTAATTAGTTTGTCTAAATCCCATTTAAATTGGTGGCTAGCCCTATGTCTTGTGGAAGAGAGTTCCACAGTACAACTACGTGCCATGTGAAGAAGTGCTTCCTTTTATTTGCCCTGAATGTCTCACCAGTCAGCTTCGTAGGATGACCTTGGGTTCTAGTATTATAAGAGAAGGAAAGATGTATCTGCCTCTCCAACTTTATCCACTCCGTGCTGGCACATCTCCATCATGTCTACCACCACTTGCCTTTCTTCTAAGCTAAAGAAATCACAGAAGTTATACGCTTTCTTCCTAGGGGAATTGCTCCAGCCTTCTGATAATTTTAGTTGTTCTACTCTTTTCCAATTTTACAATACACTTTTTCAGGTGTGGTGAGCAGAACCATACTATCCTAAGTGCAGTCACACCAGAAATTTACAAAAGAGCAGTATGATATTGGCAGTTTCTTTGTATCCTTTCGGGATTATACCTACCATGGAGCTTGCTTTCTTCACAGCACCCACATCCTGAGTTAACATTTCCATCAAATGGTCCACCATAACCCCAAGTTCTTCTTTTTGGTCAGTCCCCATTAGCTCCCATCTCATCAGCATATACTTAAGGCTGAGATTTTTTGCTTCAATGTGCATCACTTTATACTTGCTCACATAACTCCACACTGACATTCCAAGATGGGGAGAGGCAATTTGTGAGGGGTACTCCTGTTATACTAATGTAGTGCAGGCAGTAGCAGTATAATGTTACCAAATGAGCCTATTTTCTTGTACCTGACACATTTTTCATTCCAGTTCTCGCATTAAAGGTGCATTAGATCCACCTGCCATGGCAGGAAAGCACAAGCTATTCAGCCTTGATGGTCTGCAAGTAACAGTGATTTGCGGGACATAAATGTGTGTGTTTTGCAGCAATTACATACAAAGCACACGAAGTACATCCAAGAATCAAATGCACAACTTCAGACCCTGATTAGCTAAAGAGATCACTGTTGCCAGCCACTCTCTCCATTGCCACTGCATTTATGTGAACAGTACCAGTGACTAGAATGAAAGACAGGAGCCCAAACATGACCTCATCCTCACCAGCCATGCATGTGAGCACACTGCACATGATGAGCTGTGCTGATGTGATGATAATGACGTTTGTCAAAATGCACACGTCTGGTGTCAATCTATATCCGCTATCTTTTGAAGATGTCTAGCATCTTTACTGACATTGTTTTTGGATGTTAGTTTCAAATTTTGTACACTGAAGATACGTAGTACCCTCTGATCTGTACCTGTGCTTTGTAATTTTATAAACTGTCAGCCTCCCGGAGAGATTCAGCTATTGGACGGTACAGAAATGAAATGAACAAATACTGAAAGCCAGCTAATCAAAAGTAAAATAAGATAAATCAAAAGGATGCCGCACCTTTTGGCTCGTGGGATGCTCCAGGCAGCCTTCCATCATCACCCCGCCCCTCCCCGGACGGCTCCTTTTCCCCTCCTCGGCTCGAACTAGAAGCAAAAGCGGCCTCTCCGCCCCCTCGCACATTTCGGAAGCGGGGCTCCCAGCTTTTACTCACCATGTTGCCGGCAGAGGTTAGAGACCAACACCTTCTGCTAGGCCAAGTATTTGCCTGCCGGCGCCGCAGCCCAGTCCCAGGGACTTCGCGCGCCTGCGCGGCCCTCTCGCCCTACAGGGCTTGCCGCGAAGGTAGCCAATCATCAGAGACGGGAGGCGGGCTTGCGAGGTTAGGGACTGTGTATCATTTCCGACACCGCCTGCTCTTTGGGAACTTTCTGCGCAGGGAAAAGGGCGAGGTTAGTGAGAGTGGGTTGGGCGGCGCTCCGCAGAGGGGGACTGGTTAGATTTGTGACGGGCTGCGTGCAAAGGGAGGACACAAGGAAGAGCGCTGGAAGCCCAGCCCAGGCAGAGGTGGCAGGGGTGTGGCGGGATCGGGAGTAGGAAGAAGGGAAATCCAGGTTGAGATCCTCCCTCGGGCATGAAACGATCTTGGGGCTGTCATCATGCGCACACTCAGCATTGTTGCCTGGATAAAAGCGGGAGGGCAAGAACTAGGGATGTTCCCTTTGAGCTCTTTGGAAGAAGGGCGGGATAGGAAATGTACACAAGAAAATACCAGCAGGCCAATTCAACGTTCTAAAGTGTTATTCCTTAGAGCAGTGAAGACGTTTATAAAAAGATGAGAAACTGACCAACACCTTGGAAACTATGCAGTGATTGCTAGAAGTCAACATGGATTTGGCAAGGACAAGTACTTCCAGACTAATCAGATTGCTTTTTGATCGGGTAGCATGCTTACAGACTGTGGCAATCCTGTGGACATAATATACCAGGGGTGGCCAAACTGAGGTTCAGGAGCCACATGTAGCTCTTTTATTTTTTGGCTCACAGCTCTCCACCCATGGGTGCCTGTGAGCACCCACTTACTGCTTGCTGCTATCTGTGGGCACTCGCTTGTCTCAAACATCTGGCATTTATCATATGTGCCTCTTCTGTTGAACAAGTCTGACCACCCCTGTACTCTACCTTGACTTCGGCAAAGCTTTGGACAAAGGGTCCCATGATGTCCCAATTAACAAACTAGCTTAATAGTGGGCTAGATGGAACAATTATTAGGTGGGTCCAGGGTCAGCTGTAGAATTGGAGTCAAAGTGCTTATCAATGGCACCCTCTCAAACTGGGGAGAGGTTAACTAGTGAGGTACTTACAGCAGGGTTCAGCCCTAGACTCATTGCTCTTCAATGTTTGTATTAATGATTTGGGTGAGGAGATACTGGGAATGCTTATCCAGTCTATAGATGATGCAAAACATGGGTGGGATAGCTAATAAACTGGAAGGCTGAAAGATCTCGATAGGATGGAACACTGGGCCGAAATGCAGATTTAATAGGGACAAATGCCAAATTCTGCACTTAGGAAAAAGAAACCAAATGCATAATTTCAAGATGGGGATACTTGGTTCAATAAGACTACACTAGAAGCTGTAAGTAGCTTCCATATAGCCTGAAGGGACTGATCCTTAGTTTTGGAAGCTAAGCAGGGTCAAGCAGGCCTGGTTGTGAACCACCCCGAGAACTTAAGCTATGGACAGTATAGAAATGTAATGTAATAATACAAGTGAGAAAGCTCTTGGAAACTGTTGTAGATCACAAACTGAATATGAGTCAACAGTGTGATGTGGCTGCCCAAAGGGCAAATGCTGTTTTGAGCTGCATTAACAGAAGTATCACTTCTAATTTACATGAAGTACTAGTTCCCCTCCAGTCAGTACTGGTCAGGCTTCATCTTAAGGACTAGGCACAGTTCTGGGCACAGTTTAAGAAAGATACAAGCTGGAAGAGGTTCAAAGGAGGGCAACAAAGATGATCAGCAGACTGGAAATGAAGCTTCATGAGGAGAGACTGAAGGAATTGGGCAAGTTTAGTCTTGATAAGGAAAGACTAAGGGGAGATATGATGATAGCACTCTTCAAGTACTCAAAAGGTTGCCATACAGAAGATGCCGGAATTTATTCTCCTTTATTACAGAGTACAGGATGCAGAACAATGGGTTCAAGCTATAGAAAGCCTGATTGCAGCTGAACATCATGGAAAATGTCCTGATGTTAGACTAATTTGCCAGTGGAAGCAATTACTTAGGGAGGTTGTGGGCTTTCCCAAAATAGAGGCATTTAGATGTAGCTGCCATCTGTTAAAGGTAAAGGTTTCCCCTTGACATTAAGTCCAGTCATGCCTGACTCTAGGGGGCGATGCTCATCTCCGTTTCCTAGCCAGGGGAGCCAGCGTTTGTCCGCAGACAGTCTCCGTGGTCATGTGGCCAGCATGATTAAACACCGAGGTGCACGGAGCGCTGTTACCTGCCCACCGAAGTGGTACCTTTTTATCTACTTGCATTTGCATGCCTTCGAACTGCAAGGTTGGCAGGAGCTGGGATGGAGCAACGGGAACTCGTGCAGATTCGAACTGGCGACATTTCGATCAACCAGCCCAGCAGCACAGCAGTTTAAACCACTGCGCCACCTGCAGTCCCTATAAAGCATCTGTTAGGGATGCTGTAACTTGGAGGCCTGCAATGAGCACGGCGTTGGAACTGATGGTCTTCTTGGCCCCTTCCAGCTCTAGCGTTCTATATTCTGTACTTAAATATTTGCTTTGATTAATTACCCTGCCATGAGAGACAGCATTTTAAAAGGTGGTGATTCACCTGGCTGCTTTAGAGCTCCTTAAATTTGGCTCCAAAAACAAACTGACATCAGTAAAGCTGTCTTCTTAATGGGGAGAGGAGTGATAAAATTTCTAAAAGTGATCCATTCTTGGTCTTTCTTTATTCATGTGCCTTTTTAGTTATAGGATAAGGGGACAAGTATAGGTTGAGTGGGAGAACAGGAGTAATGTCACTGTCACAGCCACAAATAAGGCCATATTCCTATTATACATATCTAGGAATACCACACTGAACATACTTTTAAGTAAACACATTCATGTTTAGCTGTGCACTGTAAATGGTTTAGAGTGAGCACTCCAACTGGACAGGAGAGCCAGTGTGGTGTGATGGTTAAGAGCATAGGACTGGGACTCAGGTGATCTGGGTTCTAGTCCCTGCTTGGCCATGGAGTCAAATAGGTGACTTTGGGTTAGTCACAGTCTCAGCCCAACCTACCTCACAGGGTTGTTGCCATGGAGATAAGCTTGATAGCAGCAGGAGCATTATGTAAGCTGCTTTGAGTTCATTGTGAGAAAAAAGTGGGATAATAAATAAATAAATAAATAAATAAATAAAGGCATTGCTGATTGTTTCACTGTGAATACTATTCTGCCATCTAGTGATTCTGCTGAAGAAAAACCCCATGGTGTTTCTGTGCTGATTTTGGGAAACTGACAAGAAATAGCAGAAATCATGAAAATGTAGTTGCTGGATCTGGAATGGCAGTAATAATTCAAAGCTATTTTCACTGATTGTGGATCACTACAGGCCATTGAATGTCAACCAGCAAAGCTTATGTTAACCTTCCCTAACCTGGTGCCCTCTATATGTGGACCACAATTTCTACAACCCTGTCAGCATGGGAGCTGCAGTTGAACCTATCTGGAGGGCACCAGGTTGAGTGAAGAAGGCTTAGTTTTCCTGTTCTGCTGACAGTTTTAGTTTTCCTGTTCTAAGCCACTTTACATGTGTTAATATACGTGTTAAGATAACCAATCAGCATGTCTTCACATCATGATAGCCTCATGAGCAATTACTGTTTCATAGAGGAAGAATTGTAGGTATGGCTGCTACAAGTTTGTCAGCTCTGTATTCAGTTCTGGCTGGAGGTTTGATTAGGGTAGCTATTGCACTGCCTGCACTGTTAGGCTTTGTAATGAAAACTTCACACCATGCAAGGAATGACAACAAATATCAGTTTTTTAGTACTTTTATAAAAGTTTGACATGGTGAGAGACTTTTACAGTTACCTGAGTATTTGAAAGTACAGTTCAAGGAAAACTTGACAATGGGATTCCCATACAGCATTTTACAATCCAGTGCTCTAAATACAGTCCATGTATTAGTTAACTAGGGCACATATATATGTATGTATATAAACAATGATTTTGGAAAATAATACATAACAGATCACCACAAAAGGGGCTGGAGATACCAATGCAATGATTAGGTCTTTAATTTAAACCCCATTGGAGTGTGTATATATGATGAACATGAACCAGAATTTTACATGACAATGATGGTTGATCTTGAAACCTCACACACTAAATTTTGGAAATTCAAATTTCATACAATCTATCCTGAGCTTTTCAGAAAGATAAGGCTTAGAGAATGTCAAGATTAGTGGGTTGAAATGTGTATTTTCATAAGGCAAAATTTCAAAAACTACTGTGTCAGGGCAGATTGTGAGGTTCTCAGATGCGTACAAAAAATATAGTAGTTATTGCTGTCCACATGACTTTGTTTGAAACAGGCAAGTCCTAATATTTGCAAAATCTTGATATCATCCAAGTCATCCCAGCTTCTCACCCAGCAGCCCGCACTGTGCTTCCACAAGTCTCTGACTTTCCCACAATGAGAAGAGAATGAGTGCCACAGTTGCTCAAATGACCTTTTATTATTGCAACATAACATGGCATAAGAACAGCATTTAGAATTTACAATGCAGAGGGACTTCAAAGCAAATTTCACTCTGATTTTAGAGATATTGCTAGCATAATGCTTACAATAAATCTATTTTTAACAATACTTCATGGTCAAGACTCCATTTGTAAAATATCCTCAAGTTTTAACTGTTTAAAATACGTTCTTGTGCTTGGGATATCCAGCCCCATTTCCCCTGTAATACAGCAGTAAAGACAAATAAGCCATTTAAATTAAAATAATTTGAAAACGCTAGACCCCCAGACTGCAAAAATATATACAAGCATTTACTTATTCCTGAACTAAACCAACATTAGAGGCGTAAAAATATTTAAACAGCCATGCCCTATAGAACTAGGGCTTCAGCTATTTCAATTAGAACTATCCTTCATTTTAAAAATATAGGGCAGAAAGCCTTTTGAATGATATTTATACATTAACAATATATCTAGGTCTCTATATGAATCATAAGCCATTAGGTAGAACGTAGACTATTTTCCATAGCTTATTCTTGTTACTTCGATTTATTTTCTGTATTGTGTTAAATAAAAATGTATTAACATCAACAAACACAGCAGTTCTAAGGCCTTTTTCTCCTCCATATGCTCTATTTCTAACACACACATCAGATATTCTGGGAAGTGCCCTAGGGAGGCTTATCTCTAGTATTCATATGTGCTTCAGCTCACTGAAGTAGTATGTCATTTGTGTCAGAAAAAAAATCTATGTGTATTTCCCTTTTGATACACACTGGAGAGAAGGAAAAGGGAAGCATGTTCAATTATTCTTGAAAGCATCAACTGAGGTGAAATGGACTGTTTACATTACCTTACAGAAGAGTCCTAAAGGCAGTCTATTATTAAAACAAAAAGGTTGAGCCCATTAGCTTTCAATAACCCTGAATTAAAATCTTTCCTCTTCCCTGCTCCCAGAGTCTGGATGGGTTGATGGTATCTGCTACCACAACAAAGTCCAGTAAGTTTGATCTTTGACTTTCTTGGTTTGCTTTGAAAGGACTTTTGCTCCTCTCACACAGTAAAACAAGGGAAGTACGTATATTTTATCAGCATGCACTAATGCTGTTTCAAATGTTGCCATCTCTTCTACTGAGGTTCAGAGCAGCATGCACATCATGGAATTAATTACAACCTGAAGGAAATGTTACAAGTCAGGAAAGCTGGGCACAAGAACAAAGTGTTTTCATTCCAAATATGGGAATGTAGTTTAAGTACTGTTGTTGGCTTCAGTGGAAGATTGTGATAATAACTGAAACTCAAATCAGATTTTAAACCAAATATGTGCACAAGTGGCAAATAAACTATTCAAAAAGTGCTAAGTTAAAGAATGCATAATTTCCATGCTCTAAAACATTATTGGATTTGTAAAAATGTATTATCTGTGAAGTCTGCCAGAATTTAGCTACTGCACATCAAGTGCCTTCCAGCACAATCCTATGCATGTGTATTAAGAAATAAGTTTCCACTATGTTCAGTGTGTTTTATTCCCAGGCAAGTGTGCCTAGGATTAAAACACCAGTAAAATTAAAGTGGCAGAACACTTGTAGGAATTAGTAAGTCATAGTTCTTCATTCCCAAAGAAAGCTGGAGCTAAGTCAAGACTAACTGACCATATTTCAAACATTAACTTATAAAAAGGAGTAGAAATTAATTTCAGCAGTTACCAGCTGAAGAGGCCTTGCACTCTCTTTCAGAGTTATTGCTAAAGTACCACAAGCAAAACTAAAACTAATGCATACATTAGTTGAAAAATGAATTAAAATTCTTCTGAGTGTAAAGATCTGCATTCATATACTGATAACCTGAGGAATGTGATCATCATGGTAAAAATAAATACAAGTGCTATGTTCCAGATATGTGCATTAGCTCTACATGCCTCTCTACACAATTTGAACTGAGATGACATTGGAGTAGGCTTGCAAGGGCAGAAACAGTCAGGCCTCTCTTGGATACACAACAGAACACAAGCAATGGATCTGCTTACAGCACCCCCAGAGTTTGTTTGCAAGAAAGCACTGTTAGAAATAGGATGCTGCAGCACTGCAGCTACCAATGAACTTCCCAGTGCATCAGCAGCAAAAAGCTGCTACTAAAATGGAAAGAAAAGGAGCAGTTAAAAAAACGAAACAAAACAGGAACACATTCCAGTTAATGAGCATGACCCAAGACAGAGCTACAGAAGTATAGCAAACTTCTGGATAGGGAAGATTTCATTGATCATTTTGGATTTCTCAAAATGACTTGAAAGAAATCAAGAATTAGTGGAGATAAAATGGCAGAGCACTATCCATTTACTTATACACTAGCAACTGTTTAAATAAATCAAGGTTAATTTCTGTTTACAATATGTGCAACCAGCAGAGACAAAGAAGAGTGTAAATAAATTCATGTTCTTTGGGTGCAGATTCCCACCAATGGTTACTCTTGTCCAAATCCTTCTGTTTCTTCTATTGCAAACAGCAGCTTTTCCTTCAGTTGTTCATAACTCTTATATGGGGGCAAGTCCAAGCGGTTGAAACTGAAAATAAGCAGTGAATTTAACTTCTATTTCAATATTAAAAACAAAATGAAACAAAACAAAATGAAACAAAGCAGAGGGGCAAACACACTCTACAATTTATACCACAGCTTAACTTTAGGGCTTACAGAATGAAAGAAGAATTTCTTTGGTTTATGACTCCTCCACATTGGTTCACAGCAGCGATAATTAGTTGTGAAGTCGTGCCTGACCCATCAGGACTCCATGGACAACATTCCTCTAGGCTCTCCTGTCCTCCACCATCCCCCTCCGAGTCCTCCTAAGCTCACACCAACTGCTTCAGTGACTCCATCTAGCCACCTCATCCCCTGCCATCCCCTTCTTTTGCCCTCAATTGTTCTCAGCATTAGGGTCTTCTCCAGTGAGTCCTTCCTTCTCATTAGGTGGCCAAAGTATTTGAGTTTCATCTTCAGTATCTGACCTTCTAAAGAGCAGTCAGGGTTGATTCTCCTCTAAGACTGACTGGTTTGATCTCCTTGCAGTCCAAGGGACTCACAGGAGTCTTCTCCAGCACCAAAATTCAAAGACCTCAATTCTTCGGCGTTCAGCATTCCTTATGGTCCAACTTTCACAGCCGTACATTGCAATCACAGCAGCAAGCTCATTCAAATATTGTGACTTTGAGGTTTCTACCATGAACATTGGTTGGCTTCATTCTATTCCTTATGCTTAGGATTTTTCTAGCATATATTTTAATAATTAGTTATGTAATCTGTTCCTATAAAAGCTAGTATGATATAAGTAATATGGAACATCAATAGGTATGTATGGGGCCAACCTAATTCTTATGGGGAAGTGCAAACTTCCTGTTTCCCATTGCAGAATACTGTTATCATCTTATACATGTTCAAATCATGTCAGAGATGAGAGGCATTCAACTTTGGAGAGAGTTTTTGTTTCATTTTTTATCATCGTCCAAGAAATTAGGAGATAGCTGCTTTCAAGAATACTAAGAATGAATCTAATTCTTCTTTGTTTTGCAAAACTGGAGGTAATTCATTGAAATGTACAAACTTCATTGTGAAGAGGCAAGCAAGAATATTCCCATCTAAAAGGGAGTGAAGAAGGGCCCATAAAGGGCTGTTAAGTTAAATAGTGTAAAAATGATCACACTGTGGTTGAAATGCATTTGATAATGTAGACAGTACAGCACATTTTAAAAGTGTACAATTATGATTTATATAAAGGAACATGGTTTGCTTAAGGAAATATACAGACCTGTGGTGCCACTGTTAAGCATACATGACATAGTGCTCCCATGTTAAACTGAACTGCTCAACCTAATTACTCTGGATACTTGAGAATAAGATCTAAACATATAACAGGAGAGCCAGTGCGGTGTAGTGGTTAAGAGCATGGGACTGGGACTGGGATGATCTGGGTTCTAGTCCCCGCTCAGCCATGGAGCCAACTGGGTGACTTTGGGCCAGTCACAGACTCTCAGCCCAACCTACCTCACAGGGTTGTTGTGGGGATAAGATGGAGGAGAATTATGTAAGCTGCCTTGAACCCTTTGTAGGAAAAAGGCAGAATATAAAGCGGAAAATAAATAAATAAATAAATAAATATTGAAAATCTATTATTCTAGATGATGCCATCAAACGCTGAGAAAGAGTACATCTGGCTATGAAGTAGTAAATGCAATGGTAAAATTATGCTGCCCAGCAAATTTTTAAGTCCTTCTTTCCCTGACGAATGTTCCTGGATGATGCACAATAGCAATCTGCAACATGCATACATGTATGACTTAAAATATATTAGGTGTATAATATATAAAAAATGATCCTCGAACTCTTTGTTAGAAGGTGGAGTAGGACCAGCAATAATAAAACATTGATTTGAATCACAATTATCATTTAAAGATAGGATACACACCAAGTATGGCTTCTAGGCAACCAGTTTTCTTTACCAACTTTTTCAATGCAGAATTTTTGGGGCCCATTACTGCCTAAAATAAGAAAAAAAATGCAGCATTATTTAAGACCTCAGAAGATGTGAATTAATTAAAATGTCATTCAATTTTTAGTAGCAAAATACATAAAGAGAATAAAAGTGGTTGAAGTCCACATATTTGTATCTGTATCCATACAAAGAGTTCTCAGTTCACATTTTGAGATAACAGATATTCTAAAATGGCAGTAGAGAATGAATGCTGTGCAAACTATGACCTTCTGTCTTCAAATTATTCCTGGTAAGTCACTGGCATTTCCACCAATGCCAGATGTTGTAAAAATAACACCACACAAAGTTATTGAATAAGATGGGCACAAATATGGATGATTCATGTAAGTGTATTTAAATTTCCTACAAATCCACTTACACCGGTGCTAGCTTCAAGCTTGTGATATTGAGCAGTAGCCTTTTATAAAAGAAATGCAACAGACAGCAAATTGGATTTGCACAATTTGCCAAATAATGCAAAGGTACGTTAAAGCAAAGCTACCCTGAGCTCTGCAGAAGTTAAGAGTATTATATAAGTGAAGTGCGTGAAAGTTCTTCACTAAAAAGATCTTCAACAAACTTTATGTGGAGGCCAAAATGGGAATTAGGAAATAATCAATTCCAAAATTACATAGGCAGTAATAGGAAAAGATTTTTACAAATTGCCTATTTGGAAACATGCATTATTCTGAAAGCTGTATCAGGTAAAGCAGGCCTGGTAAAGCAGAACTTCAAATGCTCTGCTGCCACAGTGCCAATTTTGTAGCAGCCAAATCTGGAAGTTTGGTTCTGAAATTCAGCAACAAGTTAAACAGAGACTCAAAAAGGCTCCACTAGCTTGGAAACAAGTAAAATTTGGCACTTTTACTATTGGATTATTTCGTTTTTATACTGTTTAATAGCCAAGACTCTCTGGGTAGTTAACAAATGTTAAGAAAAAGCAAAACAAAAATGCTTAAAACAACATCAAAACACACACACAAACTTAAAACCACAAAATCAATTGCAATTGAATCTGCATAGAAGCATAGCAGTGGTCCAGAGTAAAATGCAAATAAAGTTAAAAAGTTAAACTGCTAAAATGCTGGGAGAATTAAAAAAGTCTTTGCATGGTGTGGAGAAGAATACAAAGTAGGTGCCAGGCTCATCTCTTTGGGGAGTTCGTTCTACAACCAGGGTGCCACAACTGAAAAGGCCTTCCTCCTGGTACCATCCCACCTCAAGCTCCCAGGGAAAGACCCCTGAAGAGTCCAAGTAGGTACGTATGAGGCAATCCTTCAGAGAACTGGCAATCTAAGCTGTTTTAAGTATTTGAATGTTAGTATTAGCCCTCTGAATTGGGCCCAAACTTCAACTGGCAGCCAGTGCAACTGGAAGAGGACTGCTCTCATGATCCAGTTCCCTGTTTTGGATCAGTTGAAGTTTCCAGCCCATTTTCAATGGCAGTCCATTTTGAATTTCTGTAGCAGTCTGCTGCTAAATTTTGGCAGCAAATGGTTAATTTTTTTTGCTGCTGTTAATGCATGGGCAGAGGCAGGAAGAACTATGCTCAAGGGCATAGAGGGTATGTAGGATCTGCAGGAGGAAGAAGGTATCAGTAAAAATCACTTCCACTGCTTTCTGTCCACAGGATCATCCTGTTTAAAGATTTTTAGTCCATGCAATACTGATTCCAGCCCAAGGTTTTTGAAGCAAGCTGAACAGAGTAAAAATTCTACTTCATCTAACTCCTCCCATCACCATAACAGGATATGTTCATCAGTGATGTAAAACTGTCAACTATTAAGCATATGGAACAGTTATTTTGCCAAAATTCTTGCATTTTTAGTTAATTCTTTTTCACAAAGATCATTTAACTGTTACTTGTGAAAGGAGACAGAAGTTGGTAGAAATATGCCAATGAATTTTATTTCATGTATGAATACTCAAGGTTTGAACTGATGCTCCAAGCCAACATTGTATCTCATATAAATCTACTCAGGCTCCCATACACTTAAGAATAATTTTCCATACCCATGAGGTCAGCAAATCCTCCAACTGGTAATCGACATGTTCCAGTAACAAACTGTAGTAATCTCATTCTCTTCTCATTATCTATTTCCTTCACAAACTGAAAGAGGAGGCATATAAATAATGATACAATAGAAGAAAGGTGGGATAAAAATAGAATAAATACATGGGTGGGATAAAAATAGAATAAATACATGGACCATCACTGTTTGAATATTGCCTGTTGCATTCTAATATTTAGCCATTATACTTTTCTTTTTTTCTAAACATAGATGAGTTAGGGGGCAATTCTATGCAAACATAGCCAGAAAAAGGACCTGCAACTCCCAGTGTTCCTCAGCTAGCATTATTAAACCACAGCCTTAAGAACGGAGTACGGGTTGCTACTGAACCATGAGCTCATGGAAATTTTTGTAGATCTTCCTTATAGTTAAAAATACATGAATAAAAATAAGGTTATATTTGCACAAATCTCTCTTAAGGTAAAAAAAAAGACACTGTTAAAGGAGGTAATAAAGTGGAGGAGTAAATTTTATCAGTGTCAACTGAGTTCTCAGAAAAGCAGGTTGCTTACCTGTAACTGATGTTCTTCGAGTGGCCATCTGTGCAGTCACACATATGGGTGCTGCGCCTGCGCAGTGCCTTTGGCCAGAAGATTGCAAGCTAACGGTTTTTGGTGGGAAAGCTCCGCTCCCCCTCCCCCATAGCCTATAAAGAGCAGAGCGTCCGCCATTTTGTTCAGTCTTTGACGACCGAACGTACGCCTCCATGTGGAAAAAAAATTGTCACTACTAGATAGGAAAAAGATCGATACCATGAAAAAAAGGGAACCTTCGGTACCGACGAACATGTCCATTCACTGACACCGAGTGGGGCTGGTGGGTGGGTTGTGTGACTGCACAGATGGCCACTCAAAGAACATCAGTTACAGGTAAGCAACCTGCTTTTCTTCGTCGTGGCCTCTGTGCATCACACATATGGGTAGATTAACAAGCTTACCATAAAAGGAGGAGGGGAGGTGTCCTCAATGAAGTATAGATGAAAGAACGGCTCTGCCAAAGGAGCAATCTTGCCGAACCCGAACATCTAGACAAAAATGTCTGGCGAAAGTGCAAGGGCTCGCCCAAGTAGTAGCTCGGCATACATCATCAATCGGGACCCCCGATGCGAAGGCAGATGAGGTAGCAACAGCCCTAGTCGAATGGCTTCGAGGAGCCGTGGGTAATTCAATCTTAGCCAGTTGATAGGATAAAGTGATAGTATGGACTATCCACTTGGAAAGTCTCTGCGGAGTGACTGGAGCGCCTTGATCTCTGATGGAATATTTAACGAATAGTCTATTTGAGCGTCGAATAGATTCAGTCCTCGATCTGTAGAAGGCTAAGCAGCGCTGAACGTCAAGTAAGTGCAGTGATCTTTCTAACGGAGTCGACAGCGATGGAAAAAAGGCAGGTAAGATAATATCCTGTCCCATATGAAAAGATGTGAAAGAAAAGATGGATCGAGGCGCAAGACGACCTTTTCTCTGTGAAAATTCAGGTAAGGAGGGTCTATGCGGAGAGCGCAGAGCTCACTGGCCCTTCGGGCTGAAGTAACTGCAACAAGAAACGTTGTCTTCCATGAAACCAGATGTAAATTGACTGTTGCCAATGGTTCGAAAGGAGCTCTTGTAAGCACTTGCAGAACAACAGAGAGACTCCATGTAGGCATTACTGGCCTGATTGATGGATTAAGATTATGAAGTCCTTTAAGAAACCTCTTAACAGTAGGTTGAGAGAAGATGGTTGATCCGTCAACCAAGCCACGATGGTAGGCTATTGCTGCTGCATACACTTTAACTGAAGACGGTTTCAATCCGGAATGGTGTAGTTCTAATAGGAACTGAAGGATTTGATGTATCAATGATGTAAATGGAGAGAACGAATGAGACTCAGCAAAGGTAGAAAATCATCTCCATTTAGCTGCATAGGACTTCCATGTGGATGGCTTCAAAGCAGAATCAAGGATGTGTTGGATATCTGGATGAAAGGCTGTTGGATTCGACGGCTCAATCTTTGAATCCGATGGTATGGAAGGAAGAAAGGAAGAGGAAACGCCGAACCCACTGGATTCGACAGCAGGATTCGAACCACTTGAAGTTGTCGTCGATACCGATGGCGTAATGGCAGCTATCGGATTCGCTACGCTGTTAAGTTCAATGACAGTAAATCTAGATGGTGAAGCATACCGCCCTGTTGGGTTATGAGGTATGGAAGCAGCGGTAGATGGAGGCATGCCCCGCGAGAGATGTTGAGCAGTGTCGCAAACCAAGCTTGGCGTGGCCACTAAGGGGTAATTAGTATCCCCGTGGCCCGATCGTATACTATCTTCGCTATCACTCTCATCATAAGAGGGATTGGAGGGAAGGCGTAAAAGTTCAGGTTGTTCCAGGGGATCATGAAGGCATCCCCTAGCGATCCGTCCCCGATTCCCACTCTCGAACAGTAAGCATCACACACCTTGTTCTGTTGGGTGGCGAACAAGTCCACGTCGGGGAACCCCCAGTGATGAAAGAGATGGTCGTGTGTCTGCGGATCTAGTTCCTATTCGTGAGAGATGAACATGTGCCTGCTGAGGAGGTCCGCTTGCACATTGTCCGTACCAGCCAGATGGACTGCCATCAGTGTAATGTCTCTCGGAATGCACCAGTCCCAAATTTTCATTGAAAGTCTAGCCAAAGTCAGGGACTTTGTTCCACCTTGTTTGTTCAGATAGAAGACAGTGGCTATGTTGTCCGAAGTTATCTGAACAACCCGATGTTGGAGAACATCCTCGAAAGAACGTAGGGCCTTGAATACTGCCAGCAGCTCCAGGAAGTTGATATGATTCGTGGATTCTCGACGATTCCACGTGCCTTGGGTGTATAGGCCGGAGCATATTGCTCCCCATCCCAGAAGAGATGCATTGGTACCGAGGGTTATCGAAGGACATCGGGGCCTGAAGGGAACCCCAACAGTCAGATTGACTGGGACTGACCACCAGAGTAGAGAATGGAGCACCGAGGATGGGATTCGAATCAATTTCGATGGTGGGTCTCTCTGTGGGTGGAACATCTTGTTGAAGAGGAGTTGTAACGGACGGAGTCGAAGTCTGGCATGTGGCACCACAGCAACCGAGGAAGCCATATGTCCCAGGATCCTCTGGATGGACTTTGCCGGGACCGTTCCGTCTCATCGCATTCGATGGATGTGGCGAGCAAGAGTCTGTTGTCTGTCCCGAGGAAAGAAGGCTTTTCCCAACGTTGAATCCAGGCGGGCTCCAATGAAGGTAAGCGTCTGCGCCGGGAGAAGATTTCTCGGTATTAATGCGTAGGCCCAGATCATCTAACAAGGCACAGGTTGTATGGATGGATGCGAGGAGTCCTTCCCTAGATTGGGACACTAGCAGCCAATCATCAAGACATGGGTAAATTTGTATGCGTTCGAGGTGTAGGAAAGCGCAGACAGGGGCCATACATTTGGTGAACACTCTCGAAGCAGTGGCCAGTCCAAAAGGTAAAACTGAAATTCGTAGAAATGGGGTACAACAGCAAAACGAAGGAAACGCCTATAACGCAGGTGGATAGAAATGTGGAAATAGGCATCATTCAAGTCCAATGAGGCGAACCAATCCTCTTTCCTTAGCAGTGGCAAAATATTTTGAAGGGTGGTCATTCAAAACTTTTTTGTCACGATAAATCGATTCAGATTACGTAAGTCCAAAATCGGACGTAGACCACCATCCCGCTTCGGGACCGTAAAATATCTGGAGTAGAATCCATGCGGTCCATCAGGTGGGGTTACTTGACGAATTGCTCCTTTACGAAGAAGTTGTTGTAGTTCATTGAGCAGTACCAGCGAGCATGATGTAAACCGGATCGGACTCGATGGAGGAACTATGTTGAATTCTATCTGATAGCCGTGCTGTATGATGGACAATACCCACTGATCAGATGTGATTGACTCCCAAATGGGGAGTCGGCTTCGCAGCCGTTCCCCAGATGAGAGAGGGGTGGGTATGGAAGGGATCAGAGGAATGGTTTGCCAGTCCCATCAACGCTGTCTCCTATCGTTGAAACGGCGACGGCCCTGCTGATAGCGTTGCTGAGGCTGTGGAAGGCGGCGTTGCTGCTGCTGTTGCCGGTGCTGGGGCTGTTGTCTAGGCTGGCAGGGCTGCCTATAAGATGGACGAGTCCATGACCACTTACGCCTGGTCTGGGTCTGTAGCTCCATCCTGCGTGCTGTCATGCGGGATTCATGTAGTTTCTTTAACTTGTGGTTGGTGCACGAGTGGAAAAGCCTGGACCCGTCGAAGGGCATTTCCTCAATCCAACGTTTAGTCTCCTCCAGGAAGTTACAATTTCTTAGCCAGGCGTGTCTCCGGAGTGAAACGGCACCAACCAAGGCCCTCGAGTCTGTGTCTACATGGTGCCTGGCTGTGGACAACTGCTGGACAGCAACCTGCATCGCCTCCTTGATAAGGACCTTGACCAGATCACCCTGGTGGTCCGGGAGGGTCGAGGCGACGTTGTGGAGGCGTTGCATTATGAAGTATTGATACCTCGCCAACGTCTCCTCATAGTTGGAGATACGCAGCCCCAGGCCTGAGGCAGCGTAGACTCGCCTGGCCAGGGAGTCGATCTTTCGTCCTTCCTTATCCCTTGGGGCAGTGTGACCTCTCGCCTCTCTGCCCTGGGAGGACTCCACCACGACCGAGTTCGGCTTGAGGTAGCGGAGGAGGAATGGAATGTCCTCCTCCCGAACCCGGTACATGGATTCGTACCTCTGAGATGTGGGTAGAGGGTGAGAGGGCAAGTCCCAGGGCTGCGTCATCGCCTGTCGTAAGGTGGTGATCAGTGGCCGGACGATTGATGTGGACTGTTCCCCGCGGACGACGTCATAAAACTTGTCCGTAGTAGGTTCCGGATGCTAGATGGCGTCGATGTCAAGGGACTGGACAAGCCAGAACATAAGCTCTGCGAAGGAGACATGCGATTCATCCGGTGACGCAGGGCCCTGAGAGGTCACAGTGACGTCAGGGGAGGTTGAATTGACCTCTGAATCGTCGGAGTCAGCACCATAACACGGGGCAGCCAATGATGAGGACTCCGCCGGAGAGAAGGACTGGCTACTTCCATCCCGAGGAGGTATCGGGGATGCACGCCTCAGGCCCAAGGACCACGGTCAGTCGTGGGAAGGTGGCGAAGACCGACCCCTAGAAGCAGGATAGTATCCGACGGAAAGGAGATCGCCCCAGGTCTGATAGTATGAGCGATGCCATCCCTCAGAGCGCTGCTCCATGGAGCGACTCCTCCGACTCCTAGGCGGGGACATCTCTACATCTGCCTCCAGAGTGGCTGTGGGCATAGGTGTGGGCGACCTAGCCCTAGGGGGGGAATCCTGAATTTCCCCATCAGAAATTGAGCCTCGTTGTAGAGTTGGAAGTGGCCCAGCAGGAAGGTCAGCCACACGGTGAGGGGACCCTTGAGGGGTAACCCTCATACCTGCCTGAAGCACTGGGTCGGGTGGAGTCGGTACGGTAAGTGCCGCTGGTACTGAGGGGGCCGTCAAATCTGAGTCTCGGTGTCGAGGACGCTCCGGATCCTTTGATTTTTTTGGAGGTTTAGGAGCCTTCTCCATCCTGGCCTTCTTATGGCCTGCTGATTTGTCAGGTTCAGCATGCTTGCGCTTCTCGTGCTTTTTCTTGGGAGAAGTAGGTGGAACCACTGTGGCAGACGCGCCTTCGTCCGAAGGGCGTGAGGGTGAAGCCACTGAAGCAGAGCCAGACTTCGGAGCAGCAACAAGCGGGTCAGACTGCATGAGAGCCCGGTCCCACAAGAGCCTCCGCAGGTGATTCTCACAGTTTTTCCTGGCCTGCTTAGAAAAGGCCAGGCAGAGCATTTATCAGTCCTATGCCCCTCCCCCAAGCAGAGGAGGCATAGGTCATGCGGGTCGGTTGGAGACATTTTAGACACGCACTCTGCGCATTTGTGGAAAGCTGCTCGCTGAGCCATCGCAAGAAAGAGAAAAAAGGAGATAGTACAGAGGGTAAGTATATATTTTTGTTTTTTTGATTTTTTGATAGAAGATCGAAGAGAAGGTAGAACGATAGAGAACTACATGAACTACAAGAAATACTGGGGCTATAACAACTGGGAGAGAACAATCGAGAAGAAGAACAAGCTAGACGAGCAACAGTCAGAGCGAGAGTGAAAGCAGCATGAGGCACAGTGAATGGTGGTCGCTAAGACTGAACAAAATGGCGCTCCGCTCTTTATAGGCTATGGGGGAGGGGGAGCGGAGCTTTCCCGCCAAAAACTGTTAGCTTGCAATCTTCTGGCCAAAGGCACTGCGTAGGCGCAGCACCCACATGTGTGATGCACAGAGACCACGAAGAAGAAGATACATTTGTGAAGCTCTGGCTGTATAAAAAATTGTACAATCCTTTTTGGTATATAAAACCAATACACACCTGCCAAAACCACACAATTTGCTTGCTTGTCCTGGTATAATGTCGATAGATCGCATGTCTTTGCCAGTCAGTCAAGTCTATCTCTTGCATTCCACACAAAAGTACCTTTTAAAGAGAAAGAATCGGACACCAGTTAAGGTCCAGACACTCTGATTTATAGAAGTCAGAAGGGAAGTGAGAATACCACTTAGGTTTCTAAATGCATTTAAAAGGTAAAAAGGTAAAGGTTTCCCCTTGACATTACATCCAGTCATGCCTGACTCTAGGGGGCGGTGCTCATCTCCGTTTCCTAGCCAAGGGAGCCAGCATTTGTCCGCAGACAGTCTCCGTGGTCATGTGGCCGGCATAACTAAACACCGAAGTGCACGGAATGCTGTTACCTGCCCACCGAAGTGGTACCTTTTTATCTACTTGCATTTGCATGCCTTCGAACTGCAAGGCTGGCAGGAGCTGGGACAGAGCAACGGGAACTCGCCCCGTTGTGCAGATTCGAACTGGTGACCTTTCAGTCAACCAGCCCAGCAGCACAGCAGTTTAAACCACTGCACCACCTGCAGTCCCTTAGGATAATGCATTTAAATGCATTTAGGATATCTTTAATTTGTGGTTCGTAAAGTCTGTCTGTGCAGATATTGAAACCTGTTGCTTAAAGGAGCTTCATATTTCCTATAAAGACATGCTTCTGTGTTAGTGTAAGTTAACAAGTACCTTATCCCATTAAACTGAAAGGTTAACTCCACTACAGTGAGCGTTTTACACTCCTGCCATTTCAGCACACTCAGGTCAAGAGGCAGGTACTGCATTTAGTAGTTGCTGCAAATATTCTAGTAAGTTCTCATTCGAGTCTTATGCTAAAGTATTAGGCTTACCTCAAGCTCCTTGGCATCGAAGTACTGCAAGTACTGCTGTGGCAAAATCTCATTGAAACCTTCAAAAAATGCTTGTGTCTGTTCTTCAACACCCCGGGAAAGCCTCCACTCTGCTACTAGCCTGGAGTGATGAAATGCAATAACTCATTTAAAACTGGTCGATTCACTTAGGTCTGCAACCGTTACACTTTAATGGATTGTGATATACATTAAGATTATAGAAAATCACTCAGGATAAAAAATCAAATACTTTCATCATGCAAGGCATAACCATTTAAAACTAAGTTACAATAATGTAACAACTTCTGAGAAAAGATCTAACAGAAATAAACGCTGTTACATGAGATCATAATGACCTTTACAGCTTTGCAGTGCAGATCCACCAAACATTTTGTTTTCTGGTTTTAACAATTTTCTATGAACAATTCAACACCATTTCAAGTTTTATTAGGAAAGGTATGCACAAAAGTTCCATTGAAAAGAGGGCAATTTTGAAAAAGTCTTCCTTGCGTAGCTTTTTCTGCATTGCTCATTATTTCTACCCCTTGTAAACACATTCCAACCATCAAAATCATACCAGGACACCTCATTTGTCTTACCCCAGCCCAGTGATGGTGAACCTTTTAGAGACTAAACTGCAACCCAAAAGCCACTTATTTATTGCAAAGTGCCAACACTGCAAGAAATCCTGAAAACTAAGGTTTTAGTTTAGAAAAAACAACTCATAGCCAGTCCAAGCAAATCTATCTACCTATCTATCTTTGGCAGTGCACTGACCGGACATGTAAAAGCTTGGACAAGTCGCGGCTAATGAGTTGTGGCTTGTGACGTCATCGCCTGGCACCACTACTCCTTTCCAAGCATGCGCATGGCCTGTATGTATGCTGTTATCCGATGCTTGGCTGCTGGGGCGATGCTGGGGTGACTTGGCTTGCCTGCCGACACAGAGGGCTGTGTGTGCCCGCTGTGGCACATGTGCCAAAGGTTCGCCACCACTGCTCTAGGAGATATGAGTCCTATCCATGAATGGAGGAGCCATTCTGTTGGTGGGATCACAACTCTGTAACCAGTCCAAAAAGTATACAAGAAACCTATTTGAAACTTACCTAATGTACTCTTCCTTGTTTTCCTCAGTAACAAGAATGTTACTACCATTGGGTTTCAAGTCATGGCTCTTTATTTCACCTAGAATTTCTTTATCAACTGAAAAATACATTTCCAGGCCACATTCTTCAATATTGTTTTCCCTATAAAACAAACAGCATACATTAACTACCGAAAAATATTTCCATGATACATGCAATCATGCTTAACTGGAAATGAGTCGCATTCATTTCATTTTTATGTTTGTGATTTCAGCCATAGTTTTAAAAGCGAATTGTTCCATGCAAGGTGTCACAGCCCAAAATTGTTCTATTTCAAAATGTTTTATTCCTCAAAATAGGAGAAATAGGCAGATTACACAAAGATATTTTAACTTCTTAAAGCACTTTTTAAGCCTATGAAAGGGAGAATAGTTTTTTTTAAATCCTGTGAATACTTATTCATTTATTTAAAACTTCTATATGCCGTCCCTTATGCCTTGGCATCTCAGGACCGCTCACAATCCATAAAATTGAGATACAATATAATCACATATATAAATAACATAATTCAATAAAAATTACATTAAAGACAAAATCAAAGCTACTGTTCAAAATGATTAAAATACTAATTTTTAAAATAGCAATTAAATAAAAAGGTTTTGACCTGGCACCAAAAAGAATATAAATTCGGTGCCAGGCACACCTCTCCAGTGAATGCATTCCACAATCTGGGCGTCACCACATAGAAGGCCCTGCTCTGGGTAGATGTTCTTTTTTATTTATTTATTTTTTATTTAAAACATTTCTATGCCACCCCCATCGCAACAAAGCCTCGGGGCGGCTCACAACAAAAACAAAATTATATGAAAAAGCTATACACTAAAAATATTAAAACCCGGTACATCTCGGCTTATAAATTTTTAAAATCCTATATAATAAATTAACACTTAAAATAAGTTTTTAATAAAAAGGTCTTAGCCTGGCGCCGAAAAACAAATAACGATGACGCCAGGCGGACCTCTCTGGGGAGCGCATTCCATAGGTGGGGCGCCACCACAGAGAAGGCTCTCCTCCGGGTACTCACCCTCCTAATATCATTCACAGAGGGTTCCCGGAGCAGAGCCTCTCCTGCAGATCTTAAGGGACATGAGGGCATATAAGGGAAGAGGTGTTCCTTCAGGTATGCTGGTCTCAAGCCATTCAAGGCTGTATAGGTTAAAACCAGCACCTTGAATTGGGCCTGGACTTCAACTGGAAGCCAATGTAGCTGGTAGAGGCATTATGTGAGAATAACGACTGGTCCCCGTCAGCATCCTGGCAGTTCTATTCTGTACCATCTGAAGTATCCAGACCATTTTCAAGAGCAACCCCACGTAGAGCACATTACAATAATCCAACCAGGGGGTTACCAGAGCATGAATCACTGTTGCTAGGCAGTGTTCGTCCAGGTAAGGACACAGCTGATGGACCAGAGGAAGCTGTAGGAAGGTACTCCTTGCTGCCGCCGCCACCTGGAATTCTAGTGACAGCTCTGGGTCAAGGAGTACTCCCAAGCTGTGGACCTTGTCCTTAGAGGGAGTGCTACCCCGTCCAGGACAAGGTCAGATACTTATGTATCTGAATACCCAAATGTTTAGTATCTGCATTGATTATTGAATATAGCTTTTATTCCCTTATCAAAATTGAAATATACTCAAGGCTGTTTACAATATTAAAATAATGAAATGCACAATAATAGTTGCCAAAAGTAGAGATATCAGGGTGTAGCACTTGTTTTCTGAGGCACAATGTCTTATCATAATTCAACTTTAAATTTGAATAGCAGAATTGAACATTTTGGTGCATTTCAAATATTTCAAAGATAGGCTTGAAATAGAATCTATATGTATTTATTTTATTTTTATTTCAATTTACATTCTGCCTTTTTCCTACAAAGGGCTCAAAGCAGCTTACATCATTCTCCTCCTCCATCTTATCCCCACAACAACCCTGTGAGGTAGGTTGGGCTGAGAGTCTGTGACTGGCCCAAAGTCACCCAGTTGGCTCCATGGCCGAGCGGGGACTAGAACCTAGATCGTCTGAGTCCCAGTCCCACGCTCTTAACCACTACACCACACTGGCTCTTACAAGAACATGTAAAACACACAAATGACATATTTATTTGCATAATTTCAAGAGCTAGGGAGTTGAAGTCAGAAACTTACTTGACCCAGATGAGAGAGTTATAAAACTCAGGATCTACAGTTTCCAAATCTTTTAGTCCTACTGCCTTGTTGAGTATACGTTTGTAGAATGGTAGAGAAAAACCTGTGTCTATAAATTTCCCATGGAACAATGCCTGCAAAAGATGGAAACTAATATTATTTATTCTATAGTATTCTCAGTGTTTCAATTACTTTGAAATCTATTTCCAGGTCTATCCAATTTTATAACCAGCAAACAAATACCTATATGTTGGAAGAAATAGGAATCACCTAAATAAAAGTATATGGAAAACTAGTAGCTGGCTTTCTAGTTAAATATGGTTACTGCTGACAAAAGGGAAAGGGCAGCATAGAACATACGAAAAAATAATCTCACTTTTTGTATTAATTTTGGGTAGGTTGAAATTCTTCATGTTAAGACTGTAAAAAGGAACATGACAAAGCAAATAACTTAATGAAGGCCTTAGCTGAGCATCAATCAAACCTTTCTCTGCAGGACCTCTATTGGGTTTCATAGGCTGCATTAAGCCACCCTAAGAATAAGTTTCACAGGACAACTCACAGTACCCTCAACAGTTAACTGGACTCACCATGGCTTGATCTCCCTGTCCTTTCTCTTGGTTCTCCTGCCAATATCCCAAAGTTCTTCATGGCAGAACTTATTTTGTTCCCCCTCCAGGCTCTGATTGTTACCCCTTTTTGTACATTGCTTTTCGTACATAACTTATTGTGATAGCTTCAAAATTGTGCAATATTTTTATTTTAAAAATTTATTTAAACATATTGGACAGCACTTATGCAGGACTGGCAAAAATAAATTTTGAACACGACTGAGCTTCTTGGACTGAAAAAGAAAATATGACTCCAATTATGCATTTTTGAAGCTGTGGGAGTGGGCAGGGGAAACAATGGCAAACAGGAAGGGAGGAAGCAGGGAGGAGGAAATAGGATTTCCTATAAAGGACACTAGACAACCAAGGGAAAAGGGGAGGAAAACAAGCTACTGTGTTCCCAGTCATCTGTCAGGTGCATCTTAAGTTCTTCCTCAAACCTAGTTTATTCACAAGGTGGCTTAGTATGTCATGCAAACTGTTGGGAGCCAGGGTTTCCCCTTCGTACATTCAAGACACAGACCATTTTACTTATAAAACATTCTTTATTGACCCCAAAGCACAAAACACCCAGAATGAATCTCCTGAGCATGCACAGAAAAGCAGGTTGCTTACCTGTAACTGATGTTCTTCGAGTGGCCATCTGTGCAGTCACACATATGGGTACTGCGCCTGCGCAGTGCCTGTGGCCAGAAGATTGATAGCTAACAGTTTCTGGCGGGAAGCTCCGCTCCCCTCCCCGCTGTGGCCTATAAAGAGCGGAGCGTCCGCCATTTTGTTCAGTCTTTGCGACCAAATGTACGATATCTTAATAATTTTAAATCTTTTTTTTTTGTCAGTACCGTAAAAAAGGGGAATGGTCGGTACCGAAGGTGCCTTTCTCATCGACACCGAGCTGTCGATGTGTCCACTCACCGACACCGAGCAGGGCCGGCGGGTGGGTTGTGTGACTGCACAGATGGCCACTCAAAGAACATCAGTTACAGGTAAGCAACCTGCTTTTCTTCGTTGTGGCCTCTGTGCATCACACATATGGGTAGATTAACAAGCTTACCATCAAGGAGGAGGGAAGGTGTTCTCAGTGAAGAACAGAGGAGAGTACAGCTCTACCGAAGGAGCAGTCCCGTCGAGCTCAAACATCGAGACGGTAGTGCCTGGCGAAGGTGCAAGGGTTCGCCCAAGTAGCGGCTCGGCAGACGTCATCGATCGGGACCCCCGCTGCGAACGCAGACGAGGTTGCAACAGCTCTAGTAGAATGGCCATGGGGAACTGAAGGCAGTTCGAGCTTAGCTAACTGATAGCACAAGACAATAGTGTGGACTATCCACTTAGAAAGTCTTTGTGGAGTGACTGGATCGCCCTGATCCCTAGTAGAATATTTGATGAATAGCCTATTGGATCGTCGAATAGACTCCGTCTGCGATCGGTAGAAGGCTAAGCAACGGCGAACTTCAAGTGAGTGCAACGATCTTTCCAAAGGGGTCGACGGTGACGGGAAAAAAGCAGGCAGCACAATGTCTTGTCCTGTATGGAAAGGTGTAGACACTTTGGGTAAGGAAGACGGGTCGAGGCGTAAAACGACCTTCTCTCTGTGAAAGTTTAGATAAGGAGGGTCTATTTGAAAAGCGCAAAGTTCACTGGCCCTCCGGGCTGAAGTAACAGCTACAAGAAATGCCGTCTTCCAAGAAACCAATTGCAGATCCACCGTCGCTAAAGGTTCAAAGGGGGCCTTCATAAGGGCCTGCATAACTACAGAAAGGCTCCATGTGGGCATAACCGGTCTAATTGATGGGTTAAGATTATATAATCCCCTCAAGAATCTGTTGAGGATAGGATGAGAAAACAGAGGTGATCTGTTGACTAATCCACGGTGGTAGGCTATCGCAGCTGTATAAACTTTAATGGACGACGGCGTCAATCCGGAATGGTGCAATTCCAGAAGGAACTGAAGAATTTGTTCAATAGATGAGAGGAATGGGAAGAATGAACGCGACTCGGCAAAGGTGGAAAAACGTTTCCATTTAGCCTTATATGACTTCCTTGTGGACGGCTTTAAGGCAGAGTCGATGATATGCTGAATATCAGGGTAAAAAACGTCGGATTCGAATTCGACGGGTCTTGTCTCGAACCGGATGGTGCAGAGAGATCAGAGAAAGGGGAAGCACCCGAGTGATTGGATTCGACAATTGGATCCGAGGTGGTCGAAGTCATCATCGGTACCGATAGATTAACAGAAGCTGTTGGATTCGTAACTCGAAACCGTCATCGGTATCGATGGAATGTCAATCATCGAATTCGCCACACTGTTAGGTTCAATGAGAGCAAGTCCGGGTGGCGAAGTGTGCCGTCCACCTGCGTTGTAAGATATGGGAGTGATGGAAGATGAAGAAATTCCCCGCGAGAGATGTCGAGTAGTTTCGCAAACCATGCTTGACGTGGCCACCAAGGGGCAACTAGTATCCCTGATGCCCGGTCGTGCGCAATCTTTGCTATGATCTTCATCAGAAGAGGGATCAGAGGGAAGGCATAGAAATGCATGTTGTTCCAAGGGATCATGAATGCGTCCCCTAGGGACGCGTGTCCGATTCCCGCTCTCGAGCAGTAAGCCCCGCACACCCTGTTCCGTTGGGTAGCGAATAAGTCCACATCGGGGAACCCCCAGCGCCTGAAAAGGTGGTTGCGCATACGAGGGTCCAGTTTCCACTTGTGAGAGGTGAACATGTGCCTGCTGAGAAGGTCCGTGTGCACGTTGTCTATGCCAGCCACATGAACAGCCATCAGCGTGATGTGTCTCTGAATGCACCAGTCCCAAATCTCCATCGAGAGTCTGGCTAGAGTTGGTGACTTCGTCCCTCCTTGTTTGTTCAGATAAAAAACGGTCGCTATATTGTCCGAGGTTATCTGAACGATCTGATGATGGAGGAGGTCCTCGAAAGAACGGAGGGCCTTGAAGTCTGCCAGTAGCTCCAGGAAGTTGATATGATTCGTGGATTCTAGACGATTCCATGTAGCCTGGGTAGATAGGCCAGAGCATATCGCTCCCCATCCTAGGAGAGACGCGTCGGTGCTGAGGGTTATCATAGAAGATCGCGCCCTGAAGGGGACTCCTAGTGTAAGACTGGTCGGTTTCAGCCACCAGCGCAGAGAGTGAAGCACGGAAGATGGGATACGAATCAGTTTGGACTGTGGCTCTCTTTGAGGGTGATACACCCTGTTGAAAAATAGTTGTAGCGGGCAAAGCCGAAGTTTGGCATGTGGAACCACGGCAACTGAGGACGCCATATGTCCCAGGACCCTCTGGATAGACCTCGCCGTGACCGTTCCCTCTCGTCGGATTCGATGGATAAGGCGAGCAAGAGTCTGTTGTCTGTCTTGTGGGAGGAAAGCTTTCGCCAATGTCGAATCCAAGCGGGCTCTGATGAAGGTGAGTGTCTGTGTTGGGAGAAGAGAAAATTTTTCTGTATTTACGTAAGCCTAGGTCATCTAGTAAGGCACAGGTCTTATGGATGGCCGCCAAAAGTCCTTCTCTGGACTGTGAGACCAACAGCCAGTCATCGAGGTACAGATAAATTTGTATGCCCTGAAGGCGTAGAAAGGCACAGACAGGAGCCATGCACTTGGTAAAAACTCTCGGAGCCGTAGCCAGTCCAAAAGGTAAAACTGTGAACTCATAAAGTTGGCTTGCAATCGCAAAACGAAGGAAACACCTGTAATTTGGGTGAATTGAAATGTGGAAGTAGGTGTCCTTCAAGTCCAGTGAGGCAAACCAATCCTCTCTCCTTAACAACGGCAAAATGTTTTGAAGGGTAGTCATACGAAACTTTCTCGGTACAATAAATGTATTTTAGTTCCGTAGATCCAAAATCGGACGTAGACCACCATCCCACTTAGGGACCGTGAAGTATCTGGAATAGAATCCGTGAAGTCCGTCAGATGGCAATACTTGACGAATTGCTCCTTTACGGAGAAGTTGACGTATTTCATCAAGGAGTACCGGTGAGCATACAGTAGACTGGATCGGACTCGATGGAGGAATGATGTTGAATTCTATTCGATAGCCGTGTTGAACAATGGATAATACCCACCAGTCAGATGTGATGGACTCCCAAATGGGGAGTTGGCTTTGGAGCCGATCCCCAAATGAGAGGGGGGTGGGTATTGAAGGAGTGTGAGGAATGGTTCGCCAGTCCCGTCAGTGTTGCCTCCGATCGTCAAAACGATGGCGGCCCTGCTGAAAACGCTGTTGGGGCTGAGGATGGCGGTGCTGCTGTTGTTGCTGGCGGTGTTGAGGCTGCTGTCTCGGTTGGTAGGACTGCCTGTAGGATGGACGATTCCAGGACCACTTACATCTAGTGTGAGACTGGATCACCATCCTGCGTGCCGTCATCCTCGATTCATGGAGCTTCTTGAGCTTATGGTCGGTTCAAGAATGGAAAAGCCTGGATCCATCAAAAGGCTTTTCCTCTATCCGCCGCTTGGTTTCTTCTGGGAAATTACAATTCTGGAGCCATGCATGCCTCCGAAGGGAAACGGCACCGACCAAGGCCCGGGAGTCAGTATCCACGTGGTGCCTTGCCGTGGATAACTGCTGCATGGCGACCTGCATGGCTTCCTTGATCAGGACCTTCGCGAGATCACCCTAGTGCTCTGGGAGGTTGGAGGCGACGTTGTGGAGGCGCTGCATAATAAAATATTGATATCTCGCCAACGTCGCCTCATAATTTGATATGCGAAGTCCCAAGCCCGAAGCAGCATAGACTCGCCTGGCCAGGGAGTCTATTTTTCGGCCCTCTTTATCTCTTGGTGCCGTGTGTCCTCTCGCCTCTCTGCCCTGCGAGGATTCGAAGACTGCAGAGTTCGGTTTCAGGTGTTTGAGGAGGAAGGGAATATCCTCTTCCCAAACCCTGTACATCGACTCATACCTCCTGGACGTCGGCTGAGGATGTGATGGCAGGTCCCAGGGCTGTGTCATCGCCTGCCGCAAGGTGGTTATGAGCGGCAGAACGATAGATGTCGATTGCTCCCCGTGGACTATGTCGTAAAACTTGTCCGTCAACGGTCCCGGGTGCTGGGCAGTGTCGATGTCCAGGGACTGGACAAGTCTTGACATCAGCTCCATGAAGGAGACGTGGGACTCGTCGGGTGATGCAGGACCCTGGGATGTCACAGCGACGTCCGGGGAGGTTGAGTCGACCTCCGAGTCAGCCGAATTGGCACCATAGTAGGGTGGGGCCGAAGATGACGACTCTGCCGGCGAGAAGGAGGGGCTGCTTCCACTTTGTGGGGATCGAGGTGGCACCCGCCTCGAATCCACTGATCGCGGTTGGTCGCGGGGTGGAGGAGATGATCATGCCCTGGGAGCAGGGTAGTACCCTACAGAGAGCAGATCGCCCCAAGTATGGTAGTAAGGGCGACGCCAACTCTCTGGGCGTTGCTCTACCGAGCGGCTCCTCTGGCTCCCTGGTGGGGACAGGCCAACGTCCGTTTCCATCATCACCGCGGGCATGGGTGTCGGTGATCTCCCCCTAGAAGGGGAGTCTTGGATTTTCCCATCGGAAATTGAACCCCGTAGAGTTGGAAGGGGTGCAGGTGGGAGCTCAACCGAATGGCGGGGAGACCCTTGAGGGGTAACCCGCATAGCCTCCTGGAGGATTGGTTTGGGCGGGGTCGGTATCGTAACCGCCACCGGTGCCGAGGGTCCCATCGGTTCCAAATTCCGATTTCGGGGACGGTCCGGACGGTCCAAAGTCTTACACTTTTTTGGAGGCTTGGAGACCTTCTCCTTTCTGGCCTTCTTATGGCCTGCCGACTTCTCTTTGGCGTGCTTCCGCTTTTCATGCTTCTTTTTAGGTGAAGCAGAGGGGGCCACCGAAGCAGACGCACCTTCGTCCGAAGGCCGTGAGGGTGGGGCCACAGAGGCGGAGCCAGGTTTTGGGATAGCGACAAGCGGGTCTGACTGCATCAGAGCCCAATCCCAAAGGAGCCTCTGAAGCCGGTTTTCGCGGTTCTTCCTGGCCTGCTTGGAGAAGGCCAGGCAATGCGCGCATTTATCCGTCCTATGCCCCTCTCCCAGGCAGAGGAGGCACAGGTCATGCGGGTCAGTTGGTGCCATTTTTGACCCGCAATCCGCGCATTTGCGGAAAGCCGCTTGCTGCACCATCGCAGAAGAGGAAGAAAAGAGAGATAGTGAAGAGGGTAAGTGTGTATGTGTGTGTGTGTGTGTGTGTGTATATATATATATAGATAGATAGATCGAAAGAAGAAATAACGAGAGAAAGCTACACAGAATAATAAGCTGGGACAAGGAGAGGAAAAAATTAGGATAAGGGACAATTCGAGAATGAGGCAATAGTCGAAGCGAAAGTCGAAAGTGGCACGAGGCACAGCGAATGGTGGTCGCAAAGACTGAACAAAAATGGCGGACGCTCCGCTCTTTATAGGCCACAGGGGGGAGGGGAGTGGAGCTTCCCGCCAAAAACCGTTAGCTATCAATCTTCCGGCCACAGGCACTGCGCAGGCACAGTACCCATATGTGTGATGCACAGAGGCCACGACGAAGAACAGTTTTACCTACTCTAGTAATCACCTCTAGGATTTCTTGTGAGTGTGCCTGGGCCTCATTCCTTCAAGAGGGGCCTTCTGAAAGTAAGTGTGCCTCCTCTGTGCATGCTGGTCCTCTAATGGGGCTACAGTCCTCTGCTGTCATTGTGTCATGGGGGCAACAGGCAGGGCTGCCTGGTCTGTGTCTGAAGAACTCTCCTGCTCCAGGTCCCCTCCCACCTGCTGTACATCTTGATTATTCCCAGGAACTGCCTGCCCACCTGGGAAGTCTGGCCTTAAGAAAAGTGCTTCTGCTTCCAACATCTTAGGGTCTTGGCTTGGCCCAGATTACCAGACTCCCCCATTCTAATTCACATTCTGAATCTGATTCTTCTGAAACTCAGCCAGCAGTCTGTGAGAAGAGTCTACAATGCAGCTATCTTTCTCACTCCTAACACAAATGCTGTCAGTGTGTTCCAGACCACCATGGGTTATGTGAGGGTTGTTTAAGTCACTTCCACTGGGTTTGGATGACATAGGACAAGCCACAATCATGGCTTGAATATTCAAAAAGGTCACAGTGGATTGTTTGTGTGAACTGGCCTACTCCAACGCAGGTATATTTGAATAAAAAAGAGGGGATTGATTTTTATAATAGTGTATAAACTATATAAACTAAAAGTGGTATAGATTTTATTTGGAACATCTATAACCTATCCCTCTGAAACGTCTATCATCATCACCATCATCTGACATTTATAAACTTTTCTTCCTTATATGAGGAGCTGAATCTTCTTCATCTCTCCATTTTAACTGAACTTTACAGTAATTTTATATAACGCCAATCCTTGCAAGCTATAAATATATCCCAAATATGCAAAATAATCACACCTTTCCCTGGTCAATTTTTGAATCTTAGCAAATATTAAAATAGGAGATATAGAATTGAAAACTTTACAGATTTTTAGATATAATGAACAGAGAAACATAAAACATTGTACATAACACAAGAGAGGCCATGCTTGCTGACAGTGATTAATCTTTGGGTTATCCTGGCTCCAGAAACAAACCTGAAAAATGTTTAGAAAGTCCTCATCTTCCCCAGCCAGCAACTTTCAGCCTCTCCAACCATATCCTCACCACCATACTTCCCCTGTAAACTCCAAACATGCTGGTTTATTATTTTATCTCAGAACTCACCATGGCAATAAATCTGCCAATAAAGCGGAAGTATTTCAGATGGTCTGGATTGATGTAAGAAGCTGGGTTTATCTGTAGGCAGTAGTTATCCTTCCCTGCATATTCAAACAGGCAATACATTGGGTTCAGCACTTCATGGGACAACAGAAAGAACCATTCCCTGAAACCACATAAAGAACTCACAGTCAACACCACAAAAAAAAGAAACATTTTAGTTTAGATATTGTGTACATATCTAAACATAAACAAGAAAACTTTAGATATCGTGTACATATAACCTAGAGATAATACTTCTGAAAACTATTAACTCTTAGGACAAAGTATTCTGTTCATCCTGCATGCAGCCAATAATGTGTCAATTGTTTGGATAGCACAACACAAAAGATTCTCAAATGTTAGAGTTGTTCTGTTAAGACTGGTAAGTTTGAAACTTCAGCTATACATAACTATTGATATACGTACTGTATGTCTGGCATAAGCCTTGCTATGCATTTCTGTTTCAGAATTATCTTTTTTGGTATGGCATAGGAAAACTCTGGGTTGGCTTTTCACAAGCCAGGCACTACTCTTTAATAGCTACATACAATTCTTAAACATTACTGTGGTACACGTGAATGAAATGAATTGTACCCAACTGTAGGCTTGCAACTTTATAAACATTGTATTCTTGATGCTGGCCTTCCAACATTTTAGCCCTGAGGCTGAAGAGAATTTTGACTGATATGTTGCTGAGGGATGTGCAAGAAATCCATTTGTGTGGAAAATCTATTGGATTCCCTGGTTTTGACTTCCCAGACTCTGTTTCGCTTTGCAGCAGTCCTGAGTCTGAGGTCCCTGTGAGCACACCCAGGGTTTGCAGGGCACTCACCAGGAACTGAGCCCCATGCACTGTCCAAGCAGAGCCATTCCATTGTTCACTGTTGTGGCCAGTAGTGGGGAAGAAGTCTGGCCACCGGAAATGGTAGTCAGTGCACCTGTTCACTACATCCCTTTTCTAGGTGTGCTACTACCAGTGGCAGCAGCAAAAAAGCTAGAAGGCTGGCAGCTCGAGAAGGTTGCTGGTTGCACAACCAGGGGTCCATGACAGTTTGCAGCCTCTTCTTGGCTCAGCTCACATTTCAGAACCAGGCTGAGCATGAGAGGACACCTGCAGATACTGGAGAGATGGATTCCAAACGAGTTTGTCGTAACCCTAAGGCTGGCATGTTTGACTTGAGTGTCAATTACTTTATTTTTTTCTGTAAAATAACTGATCCCTACCGTGCAACTCCTCCATAATCTAATCCTTCTTCTCCGGGGAAAATAACCCACAAGCGTCTTCGTAGGTCTCCAGCACTGAGGCTCATTATCTTAATGAAAAGATTATTAGATGATTAGCATTCCAGTTGCTGCTCATATTAAACAGTTGCTTTAATGTGGTAGTTCTGTTGTTTTACTCAGTTCTTCCAGAACACAGTTTTGAACATAACTGAAAAGATTACAAGCAGGATTATAGTAGTAAACAGTGCAGTTCAGGCATTCTTTATCACCATGCCACCAAGGAAAGTTCAGTAAGCCTGAGGCAACTGTGTTGATCCATATCAACAAATCAGTTCTAGCCAATATATCTCTACCATGAGCATCTCAATAGTAAAACCAACAGGTCATAACTGCACATGCCGGAATACTTTTCTTTATGACAGGGAACAATACATATACTCTATAGTTGTTGGGACAATCTGCTCCTCCACAATTATGGTGTAGATTGCAGCCAAACACGGAGAAAAAAGGAAATTCTAAGGGGTATGGCAGATGTCAGCATCCCTGCTAACAAACGACTGCTGCTGCTGCATTTCTATGAACCCTGGCATTACTACACCAGTGGCTATCATTTGCCCCCAACCATGACATCTTTGTATCATTTGCAAGGCCATTTGGAGATAAATGGTTGAATCCAATGGTGTTATTTCGCTGACAGAACTGGTTGCCTGTATTAGACAAACTGTTATAAGGCTGTTTACAGAAAGCCTACACAGCTCTTGAATTTAAGGCAATTTCTCCTCTCCAGATAGTCATCAAACACAAAATCAACATAAGCATTTTTCCAAAAAGAAACCACTTGTAAAAAGGGACATTTTTTAAAAGGTATAATCCTCAGAATTTGCCTGAAAAGCTTTCCTACCAAATAACAGAACTTGTTCTTCCAGTATAACCAGGCCTGGGGGAATACTCCCTCTCTTCCTGCTGTGTATCTTAACCCTTATTTACATCAGAGGCTGGGAAACCCTCTGAAGCACATGCATGGGCAGCCAGAATGGCTGCAGAATGGGGACAGAGAGGGAAAAAGACCCATTGTTCGAGTGAATATGATATTGGATATTATCCCCTGATTGGAATTAGAAAAAATAATGTACTAATCAGGTGAGTTTTAGTAAAGGAGTAAACAGTTTAGATAAAATCCCTATTATGCACAATTTTATAATGTATGAAATACTCAAGTATAGTTCATTTACCTGTTGAAATGAATCTTCAAACAATGTTTTTCTGCTCACTGTGATCTTTATGTGCTGGGGCAAAGCCAATTGCTGAAATGCAAGGAATAGGTTTGAAAAACAAGCTGAATGTTACTCAGTAAGAACAGTAGGCAACTGAATGGCATATGACAAACAGGAATTACAATGTTAATTCTTACAGTTTGTACCCAACAATTTGCTCTTTAATATTAATTTTACAAATTACCGAGCCTACCATATGTTTGCCTTGTGTTCTAGCAATGAACCTTACAACATGCTAAAGGAAACATTAACTAAAGTATATGGAATGTGGAAAGACTGGAAATCAAGAACATTCTGGTTGCACTCAGAACTGTGATTCATGCATGCAAATAAGGCTTGCATGAACAGTACAAAAAAGATAAGGAAGAGTGCTGGATGTTGGTCTGCAGGGTCAAGGAAAAGAGTCCCAGGATTTGCCTTCTGTGCAGGAACAGGATTAGCAGGTAGGTAATTATCCAGCAGAGATGGGAGATCCACTAAGATTCACTGTAATAGCTGAATGCACTTTGTCACACAGAAAGGTGGAACTATTAGGGATTTTCATATTGGTGCTAGCTGCTTACAGCTCACTGCTGAGTTTCCCTCTCTCTCTCTCGAAGACAATCACTGATGCCAACCTTACATTTTACTCATGAAAACATAAAATTGTACTATTGTAACTCAATGTAGATAATAAAAATTGTACTTTGCAGCAAAACTAACTGGTTTTGAACTAATTTGAGAGACTAAAGAAACAACTTTATTTCTTTGTGGACAGCTTTGATAATACACAGTGCTAAGAGGTGAGAGGAAGGTGGTAATTATCCTTTCCTTCCTTTGGGCTGCCCCACACAGAGCTGCTGTCACCACAAAATGCCCTGGGCACGTGGGCCTTGTGGCAGAGGCAGAAGTGTTAGAAACAAAAACAGACTCTTACAGCAAACTCTTTAAGTCCATTCTTAAAGTTAAAATAATTTTTTGGAGGGCGGGGTGCAGTATTTTCTGCACACATACATTTCTAAAATGAATTACAATTTACCTGACACCAAAACCGGAAATACTGCACTTTTGCTTTGAAATCACGAACATATGCTATCTGAGGTCCATTGTCTCTGGAAAGAGAAAGCAAAAGTAGGTAAGTGAATGTACTGTGTAACTGGCATTACCTTTCAGAGCCTTGCCTAATAAAGAGAATAAACTGTTTCAGAATAGGGAAGATACACTTGGGAAAGGACTTAGTCACAATCAAGTATGTCTTAAGAGCAAAATCATAGCTCAGGAGTATAATGAACTTTTTCACTCCAAAACTGGGGAGAGCTATGCTTATTTTCTGAGCTGATATGATTGCATGCTGTCCATTCTCCCAAACTCCCTTCTTCCCAGGCTTGATTCCCAACCTCCTGTGTCCCTTCACACCTACACCTACTGGATGGCACAAAATGAAATGTAACTGCAATGGAGCAAGGAAGAAGACTGCATCTTTCTTTGTGCTCCCTGTCCCTCTCTAACATGTGGCAAGCATTCCACAGAAGAAATGTCATGGTGCTCCTTTGGAGTTGTAAGTTTTCCCAAAGCAAACAGGATCTTTTCCCATGCCATTCTAGGTGTGCAACAACGAAGAAAGAGGGAGATCCTACTTCCACGTTTCAATACAGCCAAGTGCTGCTGTCACTACTGTTCCTCCATATTGTAAAAGTGTGATTTAAAAGAAAAGGTGTGGGGGGGCAGAGGGAAGTTGGAAATGGGGGAGCAGGGTGGGTGGAGGAGGGTAAACTTGGAATTCTTGGACTTTACAAATTTATACCCCCCAAATCACTAAGAAGCCAGAGAAGAATGTTCCTTGAAGCAACATTATGAGCTGCAAGGCTTGTATCCAGCCCAAACTTGAGAATTTACATCAGCACCTCTAGTTTTCAGCTTCCTTCTGCTCTTCCTTGTAATGAAGAGATCCATTTCCTGGATATGGTCTTCTTTGTGTATTTATCTCTAAATACAGAGAAAATGCAGAAGGATGCTGCCTTTTGACTTAGGGATAAAATACAAAGGTCTTTTACAGAAACAAGAGAAAAGTCATACATATCCTGAGACCAAAGATTACAAAAGCAATGGAAGGAGTGACATACCTGAGAAGAAGGAAAACTTTGTTTGCACTGAAAGAAGAACTTTACATTGGCCAGTGCTGTCAAGTATTCATTTGTCATAAAATCATTCTGAGAAACATTATGACATATTAATTTTGTGACAAATTAATACTGGCATGTTACCAAAGTACTTGTTAATGCAAAGTTGTTAATGTGTGCTTCCTCCTTGCTACAAAAATAGGAGGCATATTTAACTTATAATTGCAAACAAACACCGTCTAATCCAGGCTGCCAAAAATATTGGCTAACATCTGAAAGATGAATTATACTGTAACCCTACAGCATATGCAACAATCCCCAATAGTAATTTTGCTATAAATGTTTAAAACAAATCTTACAGAGCAGACTTTCCAGTACGAGGATCTATATATGTTGTTGTTCTTCTATTATGATCCACAAAATATGGAATTCCATCCACAGTGAATCTCATCTCCCAGCCTTCTGGTAAAGGTTTTTCATTTAACTGACTGCCAAAACAGATATAAGCAAGATGTGAATTATAGTGTATGAATCTGTGGCAAACAATGCAAAGATTGTTGTTGCATTTTTGTACATTATTTAGTTTTACTGGAGGCTCAATACTAACTATAAAGCAGTACCAAGACCCACTAGAGAATGCTGGTAGTTGTAGGGCTTTCTTCCATCTAAACACACACAAGGATTGTGCCTTTAGTTATACAGTTCTAAAGAAAATATAACCAACTTCATAAATCTAAAGTGGTACTAGTGTCAGCATTTGAATCCACATTGCAAATGGGGTATAAAAAAAACCCTGATCACATGTAAAAATGACAAGCAATTTTGGGGATCTCAGCTTCTGGACATTTTATTAGACTAACCAATATAAGGGTAATACTTTAGTCAGAAAGTTTTAAAATGTAATAAGGTACTAATGCATATTTTGTATTGCAGTTACAGGTAAAAAATCCATCACCCCAAATCTCTAAAATAGTGACACAGTTTGCATGTAATTGTGGCAAATTGTTGCTTAATTAACCTACAATTTGCCAATGTCCTATGCTGCCACCATGTTGAACATACAACTTCCAAATAACTACTATTTTTGATGTGCAAACCCAGATACTATGCATTAATCCTAGTTTAAACAACCCACAGTTAACCTAAGAATGAATAATTGGTCAACTGTGGGTTGTTTAACTCATTATGAACTCAGTATTAAGCTGTGTACATCACTCAGTAACTTCTAATCAGAGGCTGAATATTTAAAATAGCAGCAGAACACATTGGGTTATGCACCATGGGTTAATTAGCCCATCATTTGTTTCTCCTCCACTGAGCATAAGATTTTTTTCTATGAAGTGTCATGTGCAAATATAGGGGCATGTTTTACTGATTTTCTAGTAAGAATTTTCTTATATATTTCCTGTTTTGACAAGTTTTCCTATTGAACAAACTGTATTCTTATATTTGCTACTTTCCCCTCAGATTCCCAATAAGTATTTGATAAGCGATGTGCTTTAGTACTCAAACTGTTGCTAATGTATCCTTCTTTTGTGCTAGGGTTAGGGAAAACTTAAAAGATGAGGTTTTGACAACTGTTAAGAGTGAAATCTTACCCTTGACTTCTGGGATCTTCCCATTGTGTGATACGTGTATTATGATTGACAAAATAGACTCTGCCATTGTTATCTGTTCTCTTTTCTGAGAGGAAACAAAGTAACATTAGTACCATCTTAAGTGTAAATTGGTAAATAGATTTTATTTAAGTAATGCTGCAAACCAGGATTTGCAAAAGATCTTACCCCATCCAGGTGGCAAGGGACCAAGAGGATCAAATTCTTTGTTCTGTGTGAAGTCTTGATTCTACAATTACAAGGCAGAGTATAATAAACACTGAATGAACCATTTAAACTCTCATATGTCATTGCCATTATAGTTATACCTATTCTTAACAAGTTTCTACTTCCCAGAGGATTCATTTAAATCACAAATTTGTGATGAATTAAAGGACACTTTCTTGTTTCAAAATATGCATTGCTCAGATGAACCCAGACAGGTAAAGCAAAAAAGAAGAGATTTGATTTCTTATGTGTGTGGTGATTTGAGAAGTCAAAGCTGAACTTGTTGGAAGCTTTTTTTTCTTCTGCCTGCAATAAGTGGCGTGTGTGTGTGTGTGTGTGTTGTGTGTCACTCAGTTATGGAAAAGAAGCTCAGTATATGAATTCATTTTCAGGTGCAATGAAAATGCACAGTTAATGCATTACAGGGGAAACTAAATTTCTAGCCTATAAGAATGGTTTTCAGAATAAAAAAGGGAGCCTGTCACTACTGAACTTTGGCTGAAAAGTGTTCAAATTGCCTTTCTTGTGAAAAGTGCTTAATAATGACCTATCAAGAACATGAGTTATGTCCATTCTGGATGCGGTCCAGCATTAGAGGATAGAAAATATTATATGGGGACAGTTTGCTCCCAAAGAAAAGGCACCATACTCTCTGGAGAATCTCAGGTTAGCTTGCCTAATATGACAATAGGGTTCCAGGGCAGGAATCCTAGAGCTCGATCAAACCTTGCCTATGTGAACCTACTCTGAACAAATCTTCCTAGTGACCTCTGAGCTTAGCTAAATACTGCTTGTATTGATCCGACAGTCAGTACCTTCTGCTTGCAACTAACAGCCATTACCAGTGGGATGAGAGAATCTTTAAAATACAAGGGACAGTACCCAAGGGTGCCCAGATGCCACTGGGAATGATCTAGTGGAGGATCTCTGCCAGTGAAATGGGGAGGGAGGTACTTTTTGCAGAGACCTCCTCCTCTTGCAGCCTCCTTTGCCTCCCCATGTATGCTCCTGAGGACTGAAGGAATACACAGAATCACACAGGTGGTAGTGTGGGGGCTGGGGGAGGAGGAGAGAATCTAGGAAAATCAGGTCCCTCCCTGTTCTGCTGATGGAAACCTCTAGAGTGCCTTCCCCCAGCAGATAAACACTATTAGATACTTTAAAACACAGATCAGTTGACATTACAATTAAACATGATTAGCTTTACTTTATATACTCTAGATACACTGGGAGGAGGAGGAGATTGTGTGAAGAATGTCAAGCTGGCATTCCCTTTTGTGATGTCTGTTCAGGTATGTAAGGCACAGCAATCAGAAGCACTTAGCACGAAACCTGGACACACATGCAGGGTGAACAGTGACAATGTCCCTTATTATTTTTTTCAGTAGATACATCTCTTGAAATGGAGCCAAGGTATGAACATGCAGCTGGTGCCTAAACCAAGTCCTCCCTCTCTAATACTGCAGGACTGGGTTAGCTAAAGTATACATGGAGGGGGACTCAGTTACTGGGTCAGAGCTTAACAATTAAAATAGGACCACTGCTTCTAATATGTTTTTGCTTTAGGATTTTTATCTATTTTTTGATGTTTTATGGAGTAATGGTTTATCTTGGCATGATGTGTAATTGTTGCTAGGGAGTTATAAGTTCAGTAGTAGATATTAAACAAATGACAAAATCTATACTATTTTTCCATAGTATAGCTTTTTCTTGTTACTTCTCAAGATGGGTAAATCAAAATGTACTGAAAGACCTAACCTTGATGGTTTAAAAACTGATTCTAAATAAGAGTAGGATAGACTCCTACTTTCCCTCTCCTTATGTTTTTATGTTCCCATCTGATATCTGATTTTATGTCCCCGTCAGATATCTGATCACTATGCTGAATTAGACCTTGCTGATTTGGCAGCCTCCATAAATTCAAATCCTCTGGACAACGTTCCCTCAAAAAAGTTCTTAAGTGGCCTATTATTAAACCAACTTTTAAGCAGCCTACCAGGTGAGTCTGCACAGACAATACTTCTTAGCAGTCAAAATGTATCACTAATGTTTTTCTCATTAAAAAAGATCAAACAAGAGTTACCCAAACTTCTCTCGAATATGAGTTTACTAAAGATACTTTTAACTGCAATAATTGGAAAAAAATATCTCAATGTGTAACAAGCCATTGGACTACTGAATTTATATTTAATTCCATGATGTTCCTGTTGTTGTTTTTGCCATCCTAGTAGGATCTTGTTCAGAATTTTAGGTCAAGCTGCATTAATTAGCAGAAGCCACTGTTTCACTAACAAGTCTGTTCAATGAGTTTCAACCCAAATCTCACTGTTCTTACCCCATATATGAACCTCTGGTTAAACTGCTGCATAGCTCCTTGAAGCTGGCTGCGTTGAAGCTGCCATTGTTCATAATTTCGGACCGATTCCAAAGTTGGCCGCTGCCAGGTTGTTGTTCTGGTGAAATGGTCAACATAATAAATCCGCCCCATGTTGTCAACTCGGCGCTCCCAGCTGAACAACATAGATAAGATACTCAAATGCATGCATTGACCTTAAAGTACCTTTCAGTCAAACAGATATGCAGGAAACTAGGATAGCTTGTTCAATACAACAGATGAACTGAGGAAACACAATCATTCATCAGTTATGCATATGCTAAAAGAGCAGGAAAAGCAATTCTCACTTTTGTGACATCTTCACACCAGTCTATTGCTCAGCTCCCAGGGGTATTCTTATTTGATTAAAGGTTCTGCACTTCAGTTATTCATCCCAAACTTACTATGTAGCAAAAGTTATTATCTGCCCATTCCCTTTTGGAAATCAGTAGAAATATAACAAAGCTGCCCTTTTTGGCAAGTGTGCCACAGGTTTGGAGTATGGGAAAATAGCACTTCAGTATGTGTGAATGCACATATGTGGCCCTGCCCAATGCCTTAGGTTCTTTCACTTCTATTCTACTGAACCAGGAAGTGGAAAGCAGCAGTGCAGAATGCCTAAATATTCCATATCCATTCCTATAGGTTCTCCTGCTCTTGGTCTGGGAATGCCACAAACTTCTGCAGTTTGTACTTGGCCACTTATGACCTAATATGATTGACATTTCTACAGCTAATGTATACATTAAGGGCTAGATCAGACATTGCACTCTTTGGTCATCAAGCCATAATTTAGCTGTTGGACAGTGTATTATCTGAACTGGATCTGTACACAGAGAAGGCAAATCTTCAAGCTTCTTAGCAACTAAAGTTTCTTGACACATGATTGACTCACCCTGGAGGGAGAGGTTCTGGCCTGTCCCACGTAGTTCTTTTTTCAACGTGATCTACATAGTACACTCGGCCATGCTGATCCAATCTTTGTTCCCAACTGGAAAAATACAAACACTCGTGTCAAGCATTGTTCAAACCTGTTAACCATGTGTGCTTATTATTTTTTTCCAAGTAGTTACTTGATCCATCAGATTGTCATCATGGAATACCTCACTGACAGGACATTTTCAAGCACATTTGCTTTAAATGTTCTGAAGACAGAGGTCTAGTCTTTACTTCTCAGAAATCCTGTAACTGCTTGATCAGCTACACATTTTACAGGAGTGGGATTATTTATCAGGCACATATGTATTTTTCCCTTCTGTTCTCCATTTTCCTATTAACTCATAGGTTTTCCCAAATGGAATTGGTGGAGCATTTGGAGAGGCAATATACTGGATTAAATTAACCCACACCTAATCCAGCAAAGGTAACATTTATGTTCTTGAACAAAAATGCATACATTTAACAGTAGAGGCATAACCAACCTTTTGTTTTGTTTTTTGAGATGAACTTGCTCATTTGCTTTATAAATTTAATTCACTGGTGGACCACACAGCTCTAAAAAACAAACAAAAACATAGACTGTGTGACCCTAGTCAGCCCCACTCTGTGGTGTGGATGCAGGGGGGAATGGGTGGTAGTTTTGGGAATAGAAAGGCAAGCTGATCACATGTTGCTGAGGAGCAGAAACTGACCATGAGGGGAAGTGTCACAGAAAATACATGTGCACGCCTGGCAGGCTTCTCCAGATAAGGAGGTTTCCAGGAACTCTTGGAAACTGTTCAAAAAACCCCACTTGTTCTTAATCAGTGAAATTCAGGACTCTGACACAGCAACAGCTGCCACCCACGAACCAGCAAAATTGAGTCTCTTGAATGGCAGTAGGGGAGGGTCAGTAACCCTGGCCTCAGGGATACAGTCACTCCCGAGGCCCCCCTCCAAAATAACTGGGCACACTCTGACCCACAGAAGGCCCCCTCCACGGTACCCTTGCTCACTACACACACTCAGTTTATAACCAGTACAAGAGTATGCCATGCCTCTGTACTTATTTAGCTGGAAGCAGAGCTGTTGTCTTGTTTGGTACTGTATCCAGCACAACTATTTATTTATTTATACTTAATAAATGAATACTCCAAGAACAAACAAAATTGCTACTATAGATGTATAAAATGTTTTTAAAGTTCATAGCTTTAAAAAAAGATTTAAATTGTTAAAAAGCATGGATTTAAAATTAAACACACACAAATATTAAAGGAAGAAATATTCCAGTATAAGATACCTGCTTCAGTCACAAATAGGAATATGTTAGAATACTACTTAAAAACGGAGCCAGGACCAGTCAGGAACAATGCTACATCTAAATGAGGAAACACGAACTAACACTGAGCAACAGGATTTCACAACCAATCAAGTTGCACCAATAAATATCATGACTTCTTCCATGTCATCTTTTACACTAACACTGGATTTCAGCTGATCAATAAGCATGACCTCCTTAATCCCTTTCCTTTGCAGGATTAATTCAACTGATGGCAGAGATATTCACAGCAGTTACTCTGCCCTCATATGAAGGGTCCAATGTCTAGCATGTGTTTCTTTAGCTGAGTGCTCCTTACACCTGGTGAGGGTTCCCCATTTCACCAATGTAAAAACAATGCAAAAACAAACACGCAATTTTATAATAGCACCCTTCACCATACACTCCCTCTTACCTTCCACACGAAAGGGCATATGCAGCACTTATTGCCATGCAGCCCAAACTTTGTAAGATGTTCGAAGAGTTCACATGACAGACTAAGGCACGCTGTGTAGCAGGATGCACAGCATGGCTTAGAAGGCATCCTATGCTTAATGTGCCCAGCAGAAAATGGAGCACATTGAACATGGGGTTTGACCTTCTGTGGGTATTCTGGAGGACCATAACGTAGCAACAAGTATCCCCTCCCCACAGCCACCCACAAGCTCCCTTTGCAGGGGCAGACAGTGGACAGAATAGGGGAGTTAGCAGTTTTGCTTCTGTTTGTCATCGCTGAGGTTGTACACAGTGATGAGAACAGGAGCACCTGTATACCTGCTCTGGCTTGTAGTCCTGCATGGCATCCCCATGCGTTCAGAGACAACAGGCACCCTCACCAGTTGGAGGTGGTGGTGGAGATGCAGCTCTGTCCTGCACTGAGCAGGATGCTGGACCCAACATCCTTACTGGCCCCTTTCATCTCTACTACTCTATATTTCCATGACCCCCACCCACCCATAGGAGCTGATGCTAACAGAGCAGGCTTCCATGCAAGACAACTTTGGGGCCTGAAAAGGCAGCATGTTGCAGCACCACCACACACCAACCCTCTAAGTCTTGCTGACTTAGATCTTTTCTAGAAGATGATCAGAGCCCCCCAAGCCCCCCCCCCCACACACTGGCACTACAGCTGCTTCCTAGTGGTAGCACCAGAGAGTGGTGGGTGGGGTGGCCCATGCTCCTCTGAGGTGAACCATGAGATTTCAGCATGTCCTCTGCCCTAAATGGCAGGTATACTTGACAGGGAAGAACAGGTAGCTTCTGCTTTTTGTGTTTGAATGTTTTCCTAATTATCAAGCAAGATCTACTTTAGCTGTTTAAATATCTCACCTAAACATGTGCAAGTTTCATTTGATTTTTGTATAATACTGAGTGCATTTTAGGCATCTTTAGAGGTTCATGAAAATCTGGTGTCAGGAAAAAATGTGTTAGAATGTGCAGGTCATGTCAGACATTTGCATCAAACTCTTACCCAGGTGGAAGAGGACCTTGACTAACAGTAGGATGTGGATTTGGAGCTGGAGTTACTGGCTGAACCTGTGGGGTCAAAGGCGCTATTGCAGGAACTGCTGTTGCTGTTGTTGCTACATCAGAGCTTGCTTCTGATGTTGAATTGTTTGCTGTTGGAGTTACTTCTGCATTAGCTCCTTCTAATTCTGTAGAAGTAGGGCCATTGACAACTGCTGCACAGAGCAGAGATAAGAAAACGACAAAATGCTCATTTTTCTGTATTCTAGCATTTCCATGAATACAAGTCCACTTGGTATATCATTAAGGGTGAAGCAGCTGCATTTTCCAGACCCAGGGTGCCAAATAATCCATTTTCTCCACCACTACTCTCACATTATCAGGAGACCACAGGATTGTGCCCTAAATTGCCAAATCTTTAAGAAAAAGTAGTGCATGACAAAAGCTCTTCAGGCAATGAATGGGCACAACACTACCCAAATTAATTTTGAACACTAAATGAAAAATTAAGAATAGTTGTATTTAGAGTCTGAATTATTGGATTGCATTCTTTAAAAATTAGCTCACTGTTATATTTCACCACTTCCTTCCCATGGAATCTGTACCCTGATTATTTGAATGGTATGAAAAGGGTTCATTTTGCAGCAATTCCCTCCTTCGACCACAGAAAGCTTGGAAGTCTTTGAAGAGAACATTCCAAACACTGAGGATTCAGTGGGTGTTACATAAAGCTGCTTCAGTATTTTCTAAGAAGAAAAGCTTCCATAATTTAAGTGTAGGACAATATGCATTCTCAAAGCAACTGTACGATATATTTCTGGGCCATATGGTCCTTACTTTCAGAAATCTGAGAATGTCTCATTAAAGGTCAGGCAGATGTATGGCTTCACTAAAGCTAAATTATTACTTATACCAACTAAACACAGTCTTTCAGAAAAACGGATATTCTAGAAAGCAAACTGAAAAACGACTTAGGGTTTTTGTTTTTTTAAACATAGAATCACAGAATAAAGAGATAAGGAAGTTGCCAAAGGGCCATCAGGTCCAACCCCCTGCTCAGTGCTGGACACCAAGTTAAACCATCCTTCTCATATTGTTGTCCAGTTGCATCTTGAATGTCTCTATCGTATGGGAAATTCCACAACCTCCCGGGTGATTAGTTGCATTGTTGTACTGCTCTAACAGTCAGAAAGTTCTTCCAGACCTTCAGCCAGAACCTGGTTTCCTGTAACTTGAGCCCATTATTCTGTGTCTTACATTCCAGGATGACTGAGAAGAAATCCTGGCTTTCCGCTTTATGACAACCTTTCAAGTACTTGAAGAGCATTATCATCCCCCCAGTCTTCTCTTCTGGAGACTAAACATGCCCAGTTCGTTCAATATCTCCACAGAGGACTTTGTTTCCAGTCCCTGGATCATCCTTTGAACCTCTTCCAGCTTGTCTGCATCTTTCTTAAACTGTGGTGCCCAGAACTGAAAGCAGCACTCCAAATGAGGTCTAAGCAGTATTGAGTAAAGGGGAACTAACTTTACAGGATTTGGAAGTGATAGTTCTGTTAAAGCAGCCTGAAATAGCATTTGTCCTTTATATCCCATAATGTTTTGTACAGATTTAACACAATAGTGCAGTTGATAGGTAACAGTGAATAAACAGAACAAACTTTGAACACTTGAAATCACAGTTCATAATGACATACACACCGGGTGAAGCAGAGGGTCTACGGGGAGTGGGTGGAGGTGGTCGAGAAGGTCTAGGAGGTCTAGAAGGCTTAACAGCCCCGTTTACAATTACTGGAGAATCACTGCCATTGTCCACTTGTCTTTCACTAAATCCAGCAGCCTCACAGCTTTCAGGACCATTTGTACTACTCCTTTATAGGAAAGCACAACACAAATTAACATGAAGACCTGACTCATTGTTAAAACACTTCTTTAAAAAATAATGAATAACTCTATTATAGTATATAAAAGCATATTCTACAATATATTTTAAAACCCTGATTATGTAAAGGCTCAAACATATGGTTAGAAGTAATGAGATAATCAAAACTTGCATTTCTCATATTAGAAACATTGATTTCAGGGGGTCATAATCTTTGACCCAAATACAAGGCAAGTATTACAACCCCATAATTTCTCTCTGGCTAAGATTTTAATCTAAGCTGAACAGCAGTTGAATCCCTTTTCCCTTCCCACCCTCTCCTCAAACTCCACCCTTCCCCATGATTTCCTTACCACCCCTCCCACCTATCTACTTGGTCAAGGGGAGGCACCAGGCACCCTGGGAAATTAGTTTTGCCAAAGGCTACTGACATCTGAAGTAGCCCCTTGGAAAACAGATGTTTCCTCCAAATACTTGCACATAGCTGTTGCATGAGTGTATTATTTATTCCATTTCTATGATGACCAATAGCCAAAGGTCTCTGAGTGGTTCACAGCAACTCACAAAATACAAAATTAAAATAGAACATAAACATTCTGATATAAAAATAGTTTAAACAGTTAAATTAAAAACAAAAACTAGCCCTGTTAAAACAGCTAACATGTTCTAATGCCATTACATACCTGAGAGTACTGTTATTTGTCACTTATTAACCTAGTCTGTTCAGTGACAAAGTTACCATTGACATCACATGTATAGGGCCAAATATAAACAATGCAGACAATGCTATAACAATAATGTAATGGACACGAGTTCTCTGGGCCTCCTTCATGAAGAACTAGGGAGACAGAAGAGATATCCTGTTCCTGCCACCACACTAGAAGCCAGATAAGCACAAGTGATGAGGCTTGAAGGCTCATAGGGCAAATGAAGAGAAGATTTCTAAGGAGGGGGCATAAGGAGGATCAGACACTGCTATACTTCTAGTGTTATTGTCAGGAGCATGAAGGGATTCAGTTAGTTTCAGAACAAGTAGAACTTTCTGGGGGGAAATATTGATTTTCTGAGTCCAGTCATGAGCCTGACTGGAGGTAGGGGGAGTAGTTGTCACAGGCTTCAATCAAAGAGTCATCAGATAAATTGGTGATTCTAATTCATGTTGAATATTTTCTTGCTACTGTAAATTTGATAACTGCTAAATGGGATCAGTTATAAAAGTCAAAGGAAATTGATCTCTTTGGATTCAGACAGAAAAAAAGGCATTGCTGTAAGACTCTTAAGGATATACTTAAGCCAGACAGTGACTTTTATTTTTTAATTGTACAGATTTTGAAGTTAGTTTTTTTTTTAAGATGCTAAGAAGATACTGCAGAGGCTCCTGTGGACCACAAGTAGTATGCATCATAACTTCCAATTTTGTACAACTCAGATAAATATAAATGCATCTTAGTCCTACACTGTAGTTCTGCAACTGTTTAAAGAGCCACTGCAAGAGAGGAAGCTTTGAACTGGATGAAAAAGCTTAGCATGGACAAATGACAATGTCAGTCTTAATTACTGAAAAAGACTGACATTGTAAAAATAGATCCAATAGTTTAGACACACTGAACAAGGAAACCTTTGAACTGAATTGCGGTTGTCTCGGGCAACTGAGCAAAGTTTAAATGTTTTGAGCTGTCTGGATTTAGAACATTCTTTGTGAACAAAACTGATTTCATTGTCATTACTACAATTTAATGAGTGCTTTTTCCCATTCTAACTTTTGAAATAGTTAACATCAAAGCTGCATCAATGGGCACCATGGCAACTTCTGAAGCCTTCTTTTCCTACCAAATTATTTTCAATTTTTCTAAATAAACAAACCTTGAGGCCAGGAAGACTGCAAAGAAAAGAAAAAGCACAAGTCTGCCATCCTTACTTCCCTAGAATGCCTGCAAACCCCAGAGGCATTCTTAGACATGAAGATGGGGGTGATGGTGCCTTACTTTCTATCATGCCCTGGCTATCCTGTAAGAATTAAAAGAAAAAAGGGCATCCACTGCTACCTAACAAACTAGGAAGGCCAGCAGAGTAACAATGGTGGTAGGGGGCAGAACACTTGTTTGTGTGATGATCCAGAGTGAGGATGAGTGTGTTTGGGTGGTGAAGTGGGCTGAAAAGATGAAGAGTTGGGGGGCACTGAATGAGTTGACTGGTGGAGTCAGAAGGTGGGTTCATACAACATAACAACTCATAGTGTGGCACAAGCCAAGCAGTACGAGTTGTTTCCTCCAAGGCCCATGGTGTCTATTCCCTTGAATGTGCTTCTTCGGGTATCCCAGATTAACTTCATGGGAACACTGAAGTTTCCCTTCCCTTCCTGGCACACTCACAAGCCATTTTCAGCTTGCTGTAGTTTTTTTTAACTCTTAAAAAAAAAAAGAAACCTGGATCCCAACTTTACAACCCACACATAATCCCTACATTGTACCCCAGCAGTACCCTCAAAAGGTTTCCCAGGATGGTTTTAAAAAAATCATTTTCACAAAAGTTTGTAAGAATTATGTGTTTTTTAAAATGTCTATTGTCACAATTGTGAATGACCCTAGTTACATGGGAGCAGTAATGGGGCCCCTAAATGTGGCTCATGGACAGGAGGTGAGAAAGTCCAGTAGGTACTCACCTCTTCCACTGCCCCTTAAGGTGTCACTGAGTAGATCTTCCCTGAACTTTTGAAACATTTAACAGTTGTCAAATTCAACCTGTTAAATGCTTCAAAAGTCTGAAGAGGTAATTCCTTACAAAGTATGGGCCACAATCCTTCTTCCGCAGTAACATACCCAAGGGTTTTTTTCTGGGTGGGGGGGACTCCATTGTTGCCGTCTACGTTCCTGATGAAAAGAAACTTTGTACCGCACTCTAAACCAGATTCAGAAGGTGGGGTATTAAAAAGGGAACATTTCGATTATGAGGGATTATGTTTAATGGGAACAATCCCCCTTCCCCAGGGAGTCTCCTCTAATTTTGCATGTTCTCAAAGGGGCAACACCTCAGGAACAGTGACAAAATGAAGTGCGCCACTGAAAAATGTAGTCACCCTCCTGCAATCTACTTACCTGCACTGTTGGTCAGCAGGCACCCACCCCCCACTCATTAGCCAATCCACCATGCCTGCAGCCAGTCCCTGTGGAAATTTGTGAAAATAATTAAAAAATAATAATGAAACATGTTTTGCCATCCTGGGAAGTCCCTCCAAGGTAACACTAGGGCAGCTTGCAGGGACTGCTTGTTCGTTGGAAGAGTGGGATCACGAAATCCATACTGACATGCAGCTTCCATGATCCAAAAAAAGCCGCACCTAGCAAAAAATGGCTCATGAGAGCAGCCAGCCCCAAATGACAGCAACCCTGGTTGGTAGCAGCCTCACGAGTGTGGCAAAGGGGTTTTTTTTACCGTTCTTGCCAAGCAGTTTGCTGGTGGGTTTAGAGAGCTGGTATTATTTAGACATCTCAGGTTAAACTCTACTATAAATCATTGCTGTCAGGATAACTTGTAACTAACCTTACAAAACCATGCTGCATTTGCACAATACACTAACTAGCATGGCCTGTAAGCCATGGTGATGTTTCATGTTGTACAAGCCCAGTCAGAGGGATAGAGAAAGAAAGTTTGCCTTCTGTGAAATGGGTATGCTGTTGGAGCAGAAAACTGTGGGTCAAAAGAGTGGTTGTTCATGTGTTGGTTCTCAGGCTCCATCTCTGCTTTGTATGCCAATTCAGAGGCAAGTTATATGTCTTTTAGCACTGCTAGTTTGCCTTCCTTAAAATGATACCTATGTTTCAATCAGTGCATCAATCTGGGGAATAGAAACTAGAGTGGTTCATTTATGTTGTTACCAAAACAGAATTCTTTTCCATGCCTGAATAAGAAAGTGTTTTATTGGATGAGCGTTCAAGTTTCAATGTGGCACGTGCTTACATTTATTCAATCTTATTTTAAATGAAAATGTGAATGACCTATTTCATTTATTTTATTTTAATTTGACCAATTATAGCCAAGCTAGACATTCAAAATTTTAAAAATATATATTTTATAACCAAAGACCATTTCTAAATAGTTTTCGATACATGAAGCTGAAAAAATTCTGCGGCATCCGGTAATTTTAGCTTTTAACATTCCAATGACCAACCAGAATACAGATGCAAATGCAGTGAAACCAGATTACCTTATTTCATTTCTTGGCCTGGAACCATCATTTTGCATGGGACCTTTAATGTTAAGAACAAGGAAATGGAAACATATTTAATGTTTGTGTAATCTCCTAAACAGCCATTAACAATGATGATCTTGTGTATTTGTTAAAAATGTCACTGACTTATTTGTTAAAACGTGTTGTTCCAATTATTGCAAGAGTCAGCCAGACCTCTGCCCCTCACATGTAACATGCCTAGGCAAAGCAGATATGGTGTTTAAGAGTTCATTTTTAAAATTTAAAAATTCCAGACACCAAATGAAAGCACTTTTATTTTATTTCCTTATATTTCTACAAAAACCTGAATTAAAATGGTGATTTAAGTGAAAAGCACAGCATTATAGGGCAAAATATTTCAGTAGAACATTGGCTGTTTGCATCCAAAATTTGCAATTTTATCTTAGGAAAAATCTAACCCCTTCTATATTTGTCAGGAAGTAAGTCTCTGATTGGAACAAGACCTGCACAGCCATGAGGGGAAAGCCTCCTTCCACTTGCAGAGAGAACTGGGACCTAGAGGAGGCTTCCTCTGAGGAAGGGGGTTTCAACAGTTTTTCCTTCCCTCTGCAGTTGCCAGTGCCACCACCACACTGTTCCGGATTCCTCACTCAACCCTTCCTGCAGTGTAAATAAACCTCTTGAGTCCAGATCTGGATACAACTGCTCTTCAGTGAAAATTAACTCTCAAAATGAGTAGAACTGTAACTTAAGGCATTCAGACAAACCTTGTAAGGGCCAATGCATTATCTGTGGAAAGTCAAATGTCACTGTTCCTGACAGCAGCAACAGGCAAACTATATTGTTCAGGACCACGGTGTGGTGCAGTCCCCACATGACCATGACTTTGGGTCAGTCATTCACTCCCAGCCTAACCTACCTCACACAGTTGCCTTTCTGAGGACAAAGTGGAACTATGTAAGCTGCCTCAAAGTCCTTACAGGAGGAACAGAAATGCAATATAAATGCAACACAACAGCAACAGTGACAGTATCAATAACAGTAGCAGGAGTATTAAGGCAGTTTGCAGCAGGGCTGCACATAATAGCTATATTTAGAAAGTCGTATCAATGTAGTGTGTGTTTGTGTGTATGCACTGTTGAGACTGTTTTCATCTATGGAAAGGAACTAAAATTATGGAAAATTGTTGTTGCAGAAGGCTGTGCAAGGTGATTCTCAAAGTGAGAAGAACTGTGACCCAGAACCAGTTTAGCTATGATATCTCACTTTGGGAAAGCACTCCCAAGAAGGCTCACGTCAGGCCAGCTATGCTGTTGTAAACTGTCCCGACAGCTTCAATAACTGGGTGGTATGTCATCATCACCATCATCATGATGATAATCATAATCTTTTTAGAGCCATTTGGAGACCTTTCTATTTGCCTGGGCTTTTTAGGTTTTGATTGAGAGTTTACCTGGCTATAAAAAATTCTTCTGGGGTTGCCTTCAGCCACTGCACAATTTTTAAAAGTGAGGTTACACTGTATTTTTTTAATGTGAGGCAGAACAATTCACGAGACCATCTGTAAATGGCCACAGAATTGCTCCAGCCTCATAGCTGTGGATCAGCACTTGGATCCCCACCTCCTCACAGTACCCCTGACATGGAATGAACCATGCCAGATGGTTCTCTGAGGTCAAAAGGGTGGGGAGGGGAGGGGAGGATCCAGTGCTGCCAAGATGTAACACATCCTGGCAGCATCTCAGCCTCCTTCCTTTGCATTCTGAGGCACCTCCAAAATCAGGTGCCTGAACCCTTTGCAGGGTAGAAGCACAGAGGTGACCTGTGCTTCCATGGCACTGCATCATTTGGCTGTAATCCTCTGGGTTTGGAAGGTCATGGACAGCCTGACTGACTTTGTGTACTTGAAAAGTAATATATGGATGGTTAAAACAGATAAATTTGATAGTGGTGAAGTAAAATGTACAGCAGGTAAAAGTGATGATTTTCTGATTCTAAGGGGGGAAAAGTGGTGCATTAAAAAAAGCCAATTCTAATCAACTCTGAAAACTGCTAGAGAAGGTCCAGTCAGAAACAAAACTAAAAAGAGGCAGAATAGCTGGCTTTTTATTAGAAACATTACCAGAGAAACAAGGTTGAAATTTGTCATTTTAAAACGAAAAGCTAAAAGGAGAATAAACTAGCTCCTGCAAGATAACTTTTATGATATAAAATCCACCCCCTCCCAAAAAAAAAAACTGACAAAAACTATGGTTGGTAAGATTTGTCCTGAGAAGACAGTAGCTAACGAAGACAATAGGTATGGAAATATCTAGCAAGCAGCAAGCAGTGTTGGGAAAAAGGCCAGTTATAACTAACACATTTTATCTTTACCAGCATTGTAATGCTATCGCTAAACAAACAACTACCATGTTAACTTACATGAAGATACAAGACCTATTTGGCCCACTCTTTAGCATGGTAAACTTTTTTGATAAAATACTGTGCTATGTTTGGAAAACACATCAATACAAAAATGGTAAAGCTAATGTAAAGACCAAAATAGGTTAGAGACCCAGGAAACCTAGCCATGAAGAGAGACCAGGGGTCATTTCCTGAAAATATTTATGCCGCCCTTTAGCAAAAGCTCTTGCAGTGGAAAACAATAAATTTATAAAAACCATCAATATATAAAAGACACAAGACAATGCAAAACTTTTTCCTACAGCATTATGAATACCTAAGCACAAAATATACAAATCAAAGGTAAACACTACACATGTTTTATTATCATGGCACTCGGACCCATGTTGCATTTTGAGAAGAAACTGGGATTATAATTTAAACAGGCATGGTTGCTATTTGATGCATTTTGTTTTTAAGCAGCATATGTTTTCATGCAGCATATGAAAAGTCTCACTGGAACCAACCCAAAGGAGGACAGTTGCTAAGTTTTACAATATATGTGGAAAGGCTATTTTAAGACACTTCTGCTTTCTGTGTGGCAAAACAATCTCAAATTGCAACCAGAAGTGTATGTTGGACACTAAAAAGAGCTTTCTCTTGGTATTGGAGCAGTATGCCTAGGAGATTCAACCTCACAGGCATCACCTCCGCAGCAGGTTAGAAAAGTAGTAACCTGGCCCTATTTAGATTTATTCAAACCATGACAGGGGAAACTGATAGCATTGTCTTTTAAGGTCACTTCTACTGAAATGTCCACAGGAGTTCATCACTAGAAATGAGAATCTAATTATTTTAAGCTGTGTCAAAGATTGTCCTCAGAAATGACTCATCTGATGATCCAAGAAATTCCCTCCAGTACTACCTTTCAATAAAGAAATCTTGTGAGAATTACCCCATTAAAAGTTCTACTAATCCTGCTTGTCCAATCATCCCTATTCTGGCCACACTGCACAAGGATGGCCCAAAAGATTAAAAAAGTAACACATTTTTAAAGCTTATCCTTTCAACTCAGAGGATAGGCTTCCTGCCACATGAAGCCAGCTATTCACAACCCTGTTGTACGGCAAGGAAGGCAAGTTAGGCAAAACAGCCAACGGACTAAATTTTAAACTGTGTTTCCCTCACAGCATACATTAATTTCAGTCCTTATTGGCTTTTGTGAGAGTGTATTTATATATATAGGCAGTTATATAATATTGCCACAGTATGAACACACAATAGGCAAATATTACTCACTTCTTCTACTTGAGGTAACATCAGTAGGGTCTCCTTGCATGCCATCTAGACAGACAGACAACTCTCCAATTCCATCACTTGGTTCTCGGTCACCAAAAAGCTCCATGTTTACAATCACTTCTTCAACTATTGAGAAGCCAGGGAAAATCATTTTTCTTAATGCTTTAATAGTTTTATTCTAAAATGTATTAGTTACAATTAATTGTAATAATTGGGAAGACGTTAAGATATGACTCAATCCCACAGATAATATTTAGTGTAGTTTAGTGATCTCTGCACATGCTGATCCACAAAAACCTTTTTTACCAACTGGGTTTGATTTCCTTATTTAAATTAGTGTTCTGGAGTCTAGTTCTCAGTTTTATAGTGAAAACCATGTTCAGCCTGTGCAATCAAGAAATGAGTTCATATTCAGCAGTTGTACTCAGGTCTATTGTCACAGAAGCATGTATTTGCTCTTCTAGAACTAAGGTTCTGGGACAGTCTGCTGTAAAAGAAACAGGATCAAATTTTAGCAAACCTTCCCTATCATCTTTCAGATGTTTCAGACTACAACTCCCATCATCCTTTACCATTGGCTGGAGCCAATGGGTATTGCAGTCTAAAACTGGATAGCAGTGGTTGAGGAAGGCATGGAATACTTTATTGTTTTTACATTTCTTTTCATGACAGCCCCAGGCAGTGTTATCCTTCTTTCAAAAGTTTGTAAAAGAAAGATTTGTTTGTGAATACCTTCAAGAACAAATAAAAGAACATCAATAACCGTATAATACTGCACCAAACAGAGCCAGGGTGGTATAGTGGTTAGTGTTGGACTGTGACAGAGGAGGCTGAGTTTGAGTCCTCATTTGGCCATGGAACTCATTTGGTACCTTTGGGCCAGTCACTGACTCTCAGCCTAACTTACTTCACAGGGTTTTTGTGAGAATAAAAACAGAAGTGGGGGGACAAGTACCAACAAGTACCATGTAAGCTACGTTGTATTCTTCAGAAGAAGAAAGAGCCAGCATATGAACAAATAAATAAATAAAGATACATATTTTCTGTGGTTGTCTAACAACTCTGGAAGCACTTTCTTCAAGAGTTACTTGAAGCCTACACACCGTGTAAATGGACTACACACCGTGTAAATGGACTGCAGAGTGTTCCTTCCTGGACTATCTTTCATTGAACAGTTAGGGCAGCATTCTCCAACCTTGCACTTGCCTGATGCTTTGTACTGCAATTTGCTAACCTGGTCTGAATCCGGGGGGGGGGGGGGGGGGGGGGGAATTGCTGTTATAAAAGCAAAATATTACAGGTTTCCAACATTAGGTAAATATGTTCTGATGAGTATGAAAGGGGGAGAAGTGGGAGTGAAAAGTTTGAGTGAAATGTCACAGTTAAAACTAACCACAAGTAACACCGATAAACACTTTCGGTTTGCTTTGTAAGTGCATCTGCCCAGTTGCAAACACTAATGAGAAAGTGCTTATCTTTTCCGACGAGCTGGCCACTATATGTTTGAATCCCGTTTGCGAGAAAACTTGCTGGCTGAATTTCTCGCACTGAAGGCCTGCTTGTACACTTCTCAATAAAGGTGCTTCTAGCAAGGATCTGATTCAAAACACAGCTCAACACTGTTACAGTGCTACCTTGGCTCACGAACTTAATCCGTTCCAGGACTCTGGTCATGATGCAAATTGGTCGTGAGCGAAGTTAAATTTCCCCATAAGGTTCAATGTAAATAAGGTTAATCTGTTCTGTAACTATTTTTTTAAATCAGAAAAACATGAATCAATGTGACAAAGAACAACAAAGATCTGTGGCCATCTACTCCCCAACCCCGAGCACGGGCATTTCCCTGCCCCCACAGCACGACCACGATCTTGCCCGTCATCCCTGCACGTGGCCGTCATCCTGGCGCACTGGGGGGAGGGGGAGATCGTGCTGGGGGGGATGGCTGAGATCGCGGTTGTGTTTCTGCAGGAAAGATGGGCGCAATCACGGTGTGCTCATGCAGGAAAGATGGGTGCGATCTCAGCCATCTCCCCCCCCTCCGCCCCCAGCACGATCTCAACTATCTCCCCATTCGGGGGGGGGGCACGATCACGGTTGCCACCCAATGTAGTTTGCTACCTGAGTCAAAATTTTTATGAATTTTTGTTCACGACCCAATTTGGTCATGAACTGAGGTGTTCGTGAGCCAAGGTACCACTGTACTTTGACACATTCTGCTGGGTTGGGAAGGGCTGAGCTGAAGTTCTGCACAGCTTTCACTTTCCATCTCAATCTTACATGGTGCTTCCACTAAAGCTACAAGTAATATGGCTAAACTAGCCTTGATTCCTTCCTTGTTTCTTGTGATCATTTCCACACCAACATATGCCTCAAGACCCATTACAAAACCAGTGCATGTTAGTGAGCTTCCTAAAGTGTATAGATTAATTGGAATGTTACTGCAGAAAGCATTAAGTTGATATTTGAGAAAGAGCTAAGAACTGTCTTCTAGACATTGCAACAGGAGAAAAGCAACAGTTTGATGCTGTATAAAGCATGCATGGCAGTCTGTTCCAGTTAAAAAAAACATAGAATTATTCATTCTCCATCCCCACAAAGGTGTCCAGGTTTGAACACTCTAGAAAAATTTAAGACTACCCTGATATGTGGAAGCTCTGTCACATTAACAGAGGAAAGAGTCCTCGGCCTTGCTCCACTCTTGAATTTTACATTCAATTTTATGCATGTATAAAAGAATATGAGGAGAATCAAACATGTCTAGTATTTCCCAATGCTATCAAAAAGTATGCATTTTCACCCACATAGTTTTTATGCAAATGTCACAGAACAGATGAAGATTAAATAGCTGCAAAAGTTCCAAATAATGGAAACAATAAAGATATTTTTGTATGGCTCCTGACTCTCTTCCAATTTTTTTTTTTTTTTTTTTTTGTGGTGGCAAGCTAGAACAAATTTATGTAGAATGCCACATTTACATTTTCCAACTTCATTGCTCCTAATGCTTTTGAAGGTTTGTGACGACTGTGTAGTGTGATTATGACACAATTAGGCTTTTTAGAATTTAACAAAATATTGGGCAGGCAGGCAGAGAAGAAAATATTTGTCATATTTCCTAGGATAATTGGTTGCTTGGAAATTAACATTCAAATCGTTATAGATAAATAGCTCATATAGACTATCATTGAAGATATATTACAAGCCTTCTTTGCTGCTTCTTCAAAGGATGTAAAACATATATAGGATTATAATTTAATGGTGCCAGACACTGTTTGTAGAACAGATTTGATTTCCATCCTTCAGCCTGTTCAACAAAGCACCCTCATATTTGTTCTCAAGGAGATTTCAGAGAGGAGGGGGGTGCAAGGAAAAAGAAAGGAAAGAAATGTTGTATCATGAGTGGAAATTGATTCATACAATGTTGTTATAAGCCATCATGTTGTTTCCAACATATTGGTGACCCTATGAATGAAAGGCCTCCAAAATGTCCTATCTATGACAATCCTGCTCAGCTCTTCTAAATTCAAGGATGTGGCTTCTTTTATGGAGTCAATCCATCTCATATCCATCTTCCTTTTCTTCTGCCTTCAACTTTCTCTAGCATGATTATCTTCTCGAGTGAGTCTTGCCTTCTGTTTCATTATATATTTTTTAAGCCAAAGCTTAGACTTCCATGACAACTTCAAAATTTTTGCTTCTTACCACACTTTGGAAACTGAGAAATGGCACATGTGAATATGATCCAGTACTTATTGTGCAATGCTCACCACATTTATAAATTTTTTATGAACACTCTGTCATGCAAGTTTTTCATAATTCCTAAATGTAGCAGTTTAAAAGGCTAAACTACATGTAATGCTAAATGGAATCTGCTGTTCCATGACTGTATTTATTTATTGGCATTTTAAGATTAGCACCACAGTAGATGGGGAGTTTAACCTCCTCATTTCCTGCGACAGTCCCAGTGAAAATCTTCCCATCTGAAACTGCTACTTGGACCATAGCAGAAGCTTTACTGGCACCCTCATGGTACAGACAGCAATTTGGCAGAGGAGGATTTTTACTGGGACTATAGCAGCGATGGAAAGACTTAGCTCCCTTTGCACTGAATTGATAAATTAAAGATTCACTTAATATGTGAAACAGCATCACCTGTAGTTTGGCCATAAATCTGTTTATGCAAAAAGTAGCTCCAAGTCCCCACAAGTTGTAAGCAAAAGCCTACTGAGGACTGTGGGGGTGGGGGTTGGGGAGAAGCTGTCCAATTTATGCCATGTTAGTCTTTCAAGGGTCTTTCAAATTTTCTCTTTGATTACTTTCCTCTGTCTCCACTACAAAGTTGTATCTACAGCACAATTATGATGTATCATGATGTTTGAACAGCATCACACTACAAGATACTAAAATAAAATAATGTAAACAGTATGTTCACAGAAAAAAGGCAGTTATATTGTTGAATTCTTCAGACTTGTCCTTTCCTTTCTAAAACAGAAGTTGTTATTGCATATGCAGGAATGCCAGCACTGCTAGTTTAATTTTAGGGTACTTGCTCTAACATACTTACGTTTCATATTGTTTGCTTTTAGGGTCTCACCAATGTCTAGAATGGCACTTCCTAGTAGGATATCAGACTTCAGTGTCTGGTAATTCCATACACGAAAAGTTAGTTTGCTGTCATTAGAGACAATTCTAAAGAAAGAAAATTGCATAATGATTAATCTAGAAGTAGTGATGTTGTTTTTAGCCCCTCTGATTTAACTTTCATACATCATGTTACAAGGATCCACTACCATCATGGGAGTATTCGCATGCCCAATATTTGGAAATAAAGCACCACAAGTAGACTGTAACAGACTTATTCTTAAAAAGTAATTGTTACTTTATATTTCTGGTCATTGGAGTTGTTTTATTTTAGAAAACATAAATCTGAAATATGCTTTCAATCTGCAGAAACTATTATTTATCACTTCTCAAACTTGCTATTTTTTTAAACACTTTACACGTGCAACCCAATGCATGTTTAGACAGAAAATAGTCTTATAATTCCCAGAATGTTGTGGACAATTTGGCTGGCTGAAGGTACATTTGGAGTTGTAGGACTTTCTCTCTCTAATCATTCATAGGATTGCATCCTATGATTGCTTACATGCATAATAATATTACATCTGAGTTGATACTCCCAATTGCAGAGCAAGCATAAAGGAAATAAGAACTGTGTAAGAACTCCACAGGAGGCATTGCTCCTCTGTAGAACAATTTGTTAAAATATAGTGAGCTTTCAAGGGAGACTATGTACAGTTAGTATGAGAAAGTTACATTTATGTTTTCAGAAGCACAGAATGAGTAACCTTTTGTACAGTTAAGAATACATGATTATAAAAAGGTATTTGCTAACTCTCAATAAATTCCACCAGGAGATTTCACATGACTGGTTCAGAAAGCTTTTAGAAGCAGACTTAGAAAAGTCCTCTAAGAACAGTTTGCACTCTTTTTTACCACAGTGAAAAGGTAGCATTTCTACCGAGAATCAGAATAACTCTATGAATACTTTTATTCCTTTTCACCACATCCTGTAAAATTTTGGGTAAGGTATAAACAGACTGTTAAGTCGCTTCCCTATATACACTGTGCTGCTCCAGCCTTCTGCTTCTTATGGTATCTCCCTCCAAAAACCATTCATGTGGAATAGGGGACTCTATGGTACCACACCTAAAACAGTGCAAGAGGCTGCACCTGGAAACAAAACCCCAGTCCATGTGCTTTGGCTTATTAAACTACAGTTCCACTCTGTGCAAAATCAAAACTGCCACTTCTGCAACATTTTAGCCATTGTTCTGCAAATTACACAAATATGTTTCAAACAGGTCTGATTAGTTTAAAGAATCCAAATTCCCTAATGGCAGAACTTAGGAATGACTCTAATCAGAATTTTTACCCCTGTGAATACAAACATGACCTCTTATAAGAATACCCCTACATTTTTCCAGAATTAATATCCATCCCATAATTATATAAGACTTGCATATTGCATCTTATTGAGACTTAGAATGAAGAACAAAGCTGAGAACATTTGCAAACCTACACTGTGAGATGTTGTTTCCATTTTGGGCTATTAGTCTTGGTGCATTTTTCTGTCTTCTTTGACTGTCCATTCACTGAGACTTCTACGTAAGGGCTAGGTCCAAACCATTTGTTTTTGTTTTCTTTCAATTTTGCAGAAATAACTGTTGGAAACAAATTAAAAATGAAGTAGGAAGTATAAAAAATGTATTATTTATTTCAGTAATGTCTAAAGACATCACTATTACATCACATAATAGAATGTGAAGCCATGCTGAACTGTGATTCTTATACATTGATAGAAAGTAACCATGATTTTTTTTAATGTTATCTGCCACAACCCAAACATATTCTCTCCCAGTTAATTCATTTAAACAGAGAAAAGAGGAAACATTTACTTAGTCATCATGACACTAAATTATCTGATTCAATGAATATATAAAAGAAACTGACACACATTTAGATCATGTTGCAGCCTCTCATTCTGGAATTAAATGCTAAAATAAATATTTTAGCAACTATTTTTCTACAGTGTCATCATCATCTTCTCCTTCATTATTTCTATACTGCCCAACTGCAGATGCTCTCTGAACAGTTTATAACAACACATAAAGCACAGTACAAAATATAGACAGCAATAAAATCATCATAAAAATTACCAGATAAAATTTAAAAGCCAAAATTAAAACAAGTGTAACAAGTTGCAACAGCTTTTACAAATAAAATCATAAGATCTGTTTAAGCAGCTAACATGAGTTCCAATATAAAAGTAAACTAATTAAATATGTCACAAAAAAGGGAGAGCCTTAACCTGGCATATTATAGTTGATGCAAGGCCTCAATGAAGAGCTTGTTCCATAGCTAAGAGCCCACCCCAGAAAAGACCCTTCTCTTTGTTGCCATTAGCCAAACCTCCCTTGGAGTGAAATTGGAGGCAGGCTCCACACAGAATCCAGGTAGCCTGGGAGAGATGTTCCATCAGGCATTGTGGTCCCAAGCCATGTAAGGTTAAAACCATCACCATGAATTGGGTTTGGAAGAATATAGGCAACCAATGCTAGGGGTCCAGAATTAGTGTTGTATGTTGTTGTTGTTGTTGTTGTTGTTGTTGTTGTTGTTGTTGTTATTATAACATTTCTATGCCGCCCCTTGCCGAAACCTCGGGGCGGCTTACAACATGATAAAATACATTGTCTGATCATCTGGTCCTTGTTATTATCTGGCTGCTCCATTTTGCACAAGCTGCAACTTCTGAACAGTCTTCAAGGGCAATCTCATGTAGAATAAATTGCAGTACTCTATTTTAGAGATTATCAGAACACAGATTACTTGAAAGCAGGCTATCTCTGTTGAGCTGGGCCATAGCTGAGCCATCAGCTGAAGCTAGTAGAAGGCACTCTGAAACACTGAAGCCACTTGCGCCTCAAGTGACAAAGGTGGCTCAAAGAGCACCCCCAAGATATGAACCTGCTCCTTCAAGGGGAGTGCAACCCTATCTAGGACATGATGAATCCCCTCCCTCCTATCAGAAGAACCATCCAATAGCAATACTGATACATGCATTATCTGCCAGAAGAGGTGCGGGCCCTCCAGATATTTTGGCCTACAACTCCCATCAGACCTCATCACTGGTTACAGTGGCTAGGGGCTGATGGAAACTGTAACTCTCCAAACGGCTTGGACTGCAAGGTGCCCATTCCATCCGATAGTATCTCTACAGGAAGCCTATCTTTCCCAATAATTGTATTACATTTTTCAATGTAAACATGATGATGTATCACATTCTTAGTTCTGTGTTTCCATGTATATTTCATTTTACTGCACCAGACCATCCACATTTTATCCTTTTTACCAGCCATGTCCACTGTAAGCAACACATGTCAAAAACCGGTGGCTGTTGCAGCAACATAGTTAGTCCAATAAATAAAGCTGTGTGTCACCATTTTGCTTTGATGGTATTAATAGCTCTATACAAGCCCAATTTGGCATCCAAAAAAGTGTCAAGTCTCTCACTTCAGTTACTAAAGTGTAATCAAAAATTAGTTTTTGACAATCATGTCTGATTTAGAACACTGACGTGTGTTCTTCAGTTTGCAATTTAAAGTATATGGAAAATAAGCCCAATTCCAGAAGAACAACATTTAGCCACAGTTTTGTTTTTCTTTAGAAAATTTTATTACTCAGCTACAGCAATTTTACTATTTAGCTAGGTAAATAATTCCTGTACCCAAGCAAGCAGCCTCTCTTTCTTTTCTGTTCATACATATTCAGCACTCTTCTGTCAAAGGCATTCACAACTTCTTCTAACTATGATTTTCCCCTACTTCCAAATGCTTAGATCCCTATACTTGTTTCATGTCCACTCTAGGATTCTCACAAGCTTCTTGCCTTTACCTTCAAAACTTTTCATGGCCGTGCCTCCTCTTCATATTTCTTCTCTTTCCTAACACATTTCTTCCCGTTATAATCATTCATCCAGCTCTATCACCTCAGCCATTCAAATGTCACCAACCCATCGAAATTCTCCACCTGTCCTCCTGTGCTGCCCATTATGCCTGGAATTCTTTGTAGGATCACTTTGCTCACAACTTTTAAAACTTTTAAACTCACCTTTCCTGTAAAGCTTTAGAACAACCCTCTAGACACTATTGAAACTATCACAAGAAACTGAAATAATTTCACATTTGTGCCCGTTTACCCTGCTTCCACTTCTTCATTCTCTGTTGCTTCCCTGTGCCTATTTTTAGACTGTAAACCTCTTGAGGCAGGCACCAGCCAAACCTGTTCTTTGTGAAGTGCCATGTACACAGATGGTGCTATGTAAACAAACAGTAATATTTTTACTGTACCTCTGCTCTAATTTCTCAACTGGTGCCCTTTGTGCATGTGTTGAAGCAGCTAAGAGGTGGCAGCTGTTTGACTACATGCCATGTCACTTGTATTAGACAGCAGTGAGGCCTATTGGAACATTCCATGTGTTGCATGGAGATAAATTATATATGACTTATCCCGAAAAAGCAAGACTCCTGGTTGCCTTCTAGATCGATTTGTATGCCTCTTCAAAGACAGCAGGTGTTCATCTGGTTTGCATGATATTGCAGCCCATCATGGCTTATTTATGTATCTTATGTATTTCCAACAGAGAGCCTGGACTTTTCTTCACTATCACAGAGCCTATAGGCCAAAAGAAAGTTTGCTTCAGAGATCATTGTACATACAGGAGCTAGTGTGGTGTGCTGGTTAGAATGTTGGACTAGGAACCTGGGATCTGGGTTCTAGTCCCACTTAGCCATGAAGCCTTTACAATACAGTAATTTTCCTTATTTTATTCAATTGTAATTTTGTGTTTTTATTTGCTGGTCAATGACTGAATAACGAAGTATCGTATTGTAGCCATGAAGCCTACTAGGTGACTTATGGCCAGTCACTCACTCCCTGACTAACCTACCTCACAGGGTTGTTGTGAGGTAACATGAAGTTAAGTAAGCTACCTTGCGTTCATCTCAAGAGGGAAAAAAGTGGAGTATAAATGCAACATGATGATGATGCGCCTGTCTTTATAGCTACTTTCCTTACAAATTTTAAGCTTGCCCCTCCTGTAAAGGGTATGAATGAATAAATACATTTAAAAAAACAGGCAATGTGCCCCCTTTTCCCAAAAGTTACATAAATACTTGCCTTGTTGTCATGTTAGACCACTGGTCCACCTAGCCAGTTCTGAACATATGCTCTACCACTGAGCTATAGCCTTCCCCTGGAAGACTACTTCAAAAATGGGGCAGATGTGTATTGCTAGTGCTACCATTAATATTCGCCATTCAAGCTATTCAAGCTATTCATTCATTCAAGCTATTACATGCTGTGTTTTCATTTTGAACTCCCTACCTGCACATAAAAATGGAAGCAGCAATATACATGTTCAATCCAAAAGAAACCATTTTAGTACAATGGCTAACCGAGAACAGCTTGATCAAGTGCCAAATAATGCAGTCTTTGTTAAAACCAGTGAAGGAAAGAAATACAGGAAGATGCAACAGACTGTGTAAAACTATTCAACTTTTTGGTTATTATTTGTTTTGCTCTCAGAATCATTCCTGACAAGACACAGAACAAACTGCTAATGCTCACAATTTTAACATATGCATAGCAAGAATGTCTCATTCAAATGAATCCAGATCTGGAAGATTTGTAGCTTTTCATTCCAAACTCTTAAAAATGTTCTCAATCTTTTTGTATTCGAGTCCAAAACAAAAATTGGAAAATCTACAAACAGCACATAGCACCAGACATTCACATTTCTACAGTCATACAGAATCAAGTGCTGCTCTCTATATGATAGCTATAGGATTTGACTGCTGCAATACACTGGCTGTAATTTCATTCAGAATTTTTTAAATGCATGTAACACCCTGTGTGAAATACACTGAAGCTTATAGAGGAACTAACCAGGCTGACAGGCCAGCAGCACCAACCAGAACAACAAACTCAAAACTCTTTCAAGTTCTCCAACACCTCTAAATCTGTGAAAAGAAGGAACAATGTGGACATAGTGATAATTCTCCTACGGCAGTGGGCACAGGGAAATGAGAAACAGTTTATGGGCAGAACTCATGCTTTGCATCCAGAAAGTCCCAAGTTCATTCCTTTGGATCTCCAGTTAAAAGAGGCACTTGACAGCAGTGCTCAGAAAGACCTGTTCTGGACAACACAAAGGGTAGTTGCCAGTTATAGCTAGATGAAGCAATGGTTTAAAGTAGGGGTCTCAAACTCGCGGCCCACGGACCAACTGCGGCCTGCGGGATGATATTTTGTGGCCCCCACTTGATATCAAAGTTTAGTGATAGTGCGGCCCGCGTGTTTTTCTCACACGCACCTGCGTGAGCCGTTACCCTGGGCGCAATGTTCGCTCTAAGCTGCGCGCTGGGACATACGGGGCACGGGGGAGGCGCCCTGCGGCCTTCAAAGTGCCGACGGCGCCCAGGCCGGCCTCCAGGAGCGATGTGGGATGAGCAGCCCACCACCACCGCTGCTACCCAAGGCCGACCACCACCGTCGTGAAAAGCTCTTCTCCACCATGAACTTTAATAAGTCAAAGTTCAGGTCCAAACTTACTGATGCGCATCTTCAAGACATACTGAGGGTCTCAGTTGCTTCCTCCCTCAAGCCAAATGTGGCTCAGCTGTGTAAGAGGAAGCGCTGTCAGGTCTCTGGCAGCAAGGAGTAGGAGGAAGTAAGAGAAGCCTATGTTCTGAAGAACCATTCATGTTCTGAACTATTATTAGTAAAGATTGAGAAGATTGGATCAGTTGTACTTTTTTTGGAGTACTTGAAATCCTTTTTTTGTGGAATACTTGATGCGGCCCAGCCTCACCCAGACTCTACTTCCAGCGGCCCCCAGGTAAGTTGAGTTTGAGACCCCTGGTTTAAAGAAAGAAAAAGTATCTTTATATGTTCCTCCTCTGCTCTGATAGGGTTTAGTGCACCATAAATGTTATTATAAACATGTGGAAAAGGTTATAAACAACAGGTATGTACACTTCCAGCAGTGGTCACAAACAGCAAAGGGAGTTGCAATCAACATACATGCTGTTTTAGACACTTACCAGTGACTTGAAGCTGTGATTTCACAGGTAATCCATTGACAGACTCTGATTTTGACCCATTACCAGCCATACCACAAGAAGGTACATGAACCTGAAGAAAGAAAGAAGAAAAGCACTCTTGAGATTAAAGACTGGAATTCAGATCAGTTGCTACCTTAGTGTATTGCAAGATATTTATTTAAAACATTTGCATGACACCCAATTGTGCCACAGCACCTCTGGGCGGCTAACAATTACAAGATAAAAATGCAATAAAACACAATAAAAATAAAAAAAACAACACATTAAAATAACAATGAAATACAAGCAGAAATACAAAACAAAGGTCATATGGCATTAGTTGTTAAAATATTTTTTAAAAAGAAAGGTCTTTGCCTGGCATCAAAAAGACAATAAGGAAGGATCCAGGCAAATCTCCTTGGGGAGAACATTCATATAGGCAGTTACAGTAGACAGAGCGATGTGTGTCACTGATAAATACTGCAGCAATCACATTCTGATAAAGTAAATTCTAACTATCATTACATTAACCAAGGACAAATATGCTACTAGAAAAATATGAAAAGCCAGGAAGTATTACATGATTTCTAAGATATCACAATGTGTATTTTTCCTGTTTTAGAGTCCTGCCAAGGGAAGATAGCTTTGTTCTCATCTTGCTTAAAAGTCTGCTCATTTGCTTTCACCAATAGCAGTGAATCACAGATATTCATTTGCATGGGAAAACTTAAAGGTAAGCAAAATCTAAAGTAGAATAATTATTACTATCTGTCTAAATGAAAACAGTCACCAGTGCCACGCCACCATTTTCTGATGGACTTTGGACATTGTTTCTTAACACTGGCAGGAATGCAGGCAGGCTTCCACGGCACAGACCTAGCCTACATCCGAAATCAACCTCTAGTATTAAGTGCCGCCTTTGTACAAACTCACCGTGCTCCAACCACCCAATTTTCAAGCGCTTTCTAGATTAAACACAATCACTGAAGAAAAATCAGTGAAATAAATATTGGTCTCTAGTCTTCTTAGATTAGGTCAATCTATAAAGTATGTACTATAGCAACTGCATATTCCACAATGAGAGCAGAAACAACAAATGCTCCAAACTGGAGTTGGAAAACTATTCCTAAATGTAGCTGTGAACAGAAGTTATTCACATTACCCTGCTTCGGAACTACTTCAAAATACATTAAAAATGTTATATAGCACTTTTCACACATAACATTCCAAAATGTCGTATGCTGGGAAATCCAAGAGTTTCATCTGCAGGTTCTTCTACTCCCACCCCCCATGCATTCTGCTAATTTGGAGGCTGGCCTTGAGACTGCAAAAGGCTCAAAGCCTCTATATTGAGAAGGAAAATGCGGCACATCAGTATTTGTAAGTTCCAAGTCATCTTCACACAGATACAAAAGGGACGAAAAACACTGCACTGCAGGCAACTGCTGAATCTTCTGTTTTTGTTAGCAAAATTTTAAAATTGCACAATTTAGGCAGTTGCCCACATCTTGTGGGGAAAGTATTTGTGTGTCTGAGATACATCAAATTCTAAGTTCTATGTTATATAGCATACTTCCCATATTTAAAGATTTTCAGGAAGAAAACCACCACAGACATCAGCCAGGCAAATGTTTGAATAATTGATCTATCTCTTGGCCCTTAAGATTCTTTTGTGCCTTCTTCCATTTTCCTGAAACCAATTTTTAATGGATAAAGCCCCTTGCAATACTTTTGGTGGTGAGAGTCCTTCATTGCTAAATGGTTTTCTTTTTTTGGGGGGGGGGGCACTAGCCTTCTTGTGCTTCATTCCGCCTTTCTTAGACTATGCATGGTGTTCCCCAGCTACAGCCCAGAAAAATACAGTTAAAAAGAGGAACTATGGATAAGCCCCAACATAAAATTATAAACTTCAAAGATTGAGATCTTTTTGTGACTCGGCCACGTGGTTCTTGACCATGAACCTTGCAGATGGCAATGTTGCACCACGATGTCCCATTAAATAAATGCACGTTTGCTCTTGCTATTTGTATGCAATGGTGGTGTCAGGTTTCGTGAAAATTCTGCACAGAGTTTTTTGGCTAGTCGTTAGTGCATGTGTATTTAATGTGCATCCTAAGACCATTTTTCTTCTTCCAATGTGGCCCAGAGGAGCCAAAAGCTTGGACACCCTGAACTACATCCTCTGCTGGGCTGCTGACTTTACCTGCATAGTAACTGAGGACTACAAGAAAGAGCATAGTCTCTATCCAAGCTCACACAGGACCTTCTCCAAGAGGCAGAAACAAGTAGAAATTGATTTTAAATAGTCAAAATTAGCATAAGGTAGTGATTTTACCCTGACATAATTTATTGTGATAGAAACAAACCTCATGAAGCCTTGTTCTTGCACACTCCACCCTGCCCCTCCAGTGCAATTGCCAGGAAAATGGAAGCTTCTGATTACTGGCAGCTTGCCATTTTGTCTGAATGTGACAAACTGTACCTAGTCTTAACATTTGTTTTCCTGAAAGGAGCCAACTTTAAACCATGAGTGATCAAACAGGTTTGTTTTTGTTAATGACTGTTAAGATTAACCAGAGTTCAGCACAGTAAATCAAAGACTGAAGTGAAAGTTTCCAATCCCTCCTTTCCAGTCACACCAGAGGCGGCAAGGGGAGCCGAGAAGAGTGCAAATCCAAGGCTTGCTGTGGTCTGTCACAGTAAGTTTATCTCCATGTTGCAGTGCAGGCAACATGGTGCTCATGGCACCAGTGCATTATGTAGGTATTTTTCTCCGTGCTTGAACAGATGCCCTAACACTAAAAAGCAAACATGTTTTCTTAGCTGGAATTTCTTCAAAGAAACGTGAAGGCTTTCAGTCTCTCCTGGACTGCACAGGGGGCTTAGAGACACTCCTAAGAGATGAAGCTTGTTGGTACCTGCAGGCTGATACTTCTGCGGCTGCCAAGAAAAGCGGCTGCCAAGAAAAGCGGGGGGGGGGGGGGGGAAGCAGCTCCTGTCACTTATGAATGATAAACTAGGTGGGGGATGGGAGAGAATAGCACTGGATTGCCAGAAAGAATAGCACTGGATTGGAAAGGATTGTGTGCTTTTATGTCTGCATAAACAAAGGTCCCATGCATGTGAGGCAGAACAAGGGAGAGGAAGGTTTGGTAAAGGAGAGTTCAGAAGGATCCTGAAAAATATTTTGTGGGGCTTTTCCATGTGCTTGCAGCACAAAGGAAAAAGAAATGTGTGCATATGCTAAAACAGATAGTGAATGAACTTAAACAGAAGGAGAATGGATTGGGGGAGGTGTATGTGTGCACATGAATGAGAAACTGCATATGCACATACAAATGGGTGGTGAATCAGGGTAAAAGAGGGAGTTTGCCTTCTGAGGGATAAATCTCTGTTGATGCTGGAAACTGAGTTCAAGGGTGTTGTTTAGTGCTTTGAGACTCAGCCTCTGTCTCTGCCTTGTATTCAATCTTTTTGGGCAGAACACTTGTCCTTTGTGACTAATCAGGCCCCCCATGGTAGAAGTTCTGTGGTGATACCCAGGAAAGTTTCTCATTTCTCATGGGTTCAACAAGTATGCTTGCCTCTTGGCTTGCTGTGAATTCCAAATTGGTTCATAATCTGAGAACACTACACAGAAAACTTGTATAATTGTTTGATAGACAGGAATATAGCTAGGAATTAATAAAAGTTAACACTCAAAAAGACAAAATGTTTTATAAGCAAGCTTATAACTAGCTTATCTCCTCTACATATAAGAGTCATGGAAAACTAATTAACAGGCTTAAACTGGGAGATTAAGTTTAAATTGAACAAAGGTTTTCAAGGGAAACAAATAAGGAAGTAGCAAACAGATTAGCCATGTCACACAGTCTATTTTTAAATGCACTATATAAAGCAAAGTATACATCAAGTATCTGTTTTTTTTTAAAAAAGAGGCAAATATTATCCTGATACTCTCCGCTTGTTCTGATCTTTCTTCTAGAAGCATTTCTTCAATTCTTAATAGCCTAGGTTTCATTTTAAATTGAATTCCAGAGGATGGAGCGAAGAAGCAGCAGCGGCAGCATGTATGAACAAAATATTGAGCAAGGGGCACTGAGAATTCTGGTTTGCTGAAAATGAGCAAACATGATTAAGGGGCTTAATCACTCCCTCTTAGCTGCTCCTGAAAGTGGAAGTAGCTAGGAGAGAGAAGTCAGGAGTTCAAGTTTGATTGTAACACTAAGATTTTTGTGACTGGTAAATTTCTCAGTACTGTAGTCACTTTTGTTTGCAGCAGGAGCCAAGGGAGAGTTACTGGCCAGTTTGTACCAACACACTTGTTTATTACCAATATACCAAAATACTCAGCAATTCTGGCTTGCCATTTAGTGCTAACACAGTATGTGTAAATTCTAACCAGTACATATTTAGCACCCAGTTCTGAAGCAGAGTATATTCAGTATTTAGTTTTGGAGTATCAATTATTTTATAAGGGTGCTGTTTCAACATATATACCAATATTGTAGAGATAAGTACAAGATTAAAGCATAGATTATGTCTATTTGTTTGGGGGGAAATAAGATCACAATCCCTCAGAGGCTTAAAGCACAAAAGTCTTACTCAGATGCAATACTAAACTATGGGTTATCATTAGGAGAACGAACCTAACGATAACCCATAGTTTCAGTTACTGCTCTTCCATCTTCTGCTGCAGTCATGAGGAGGCATTTCCAAGGTTTGCTTCGATTTTAGATTAACCACAGTTTCCCATGGACTAACTGCAGCAATCTTGAACTATGGTATATCCACTCAAGCCAAATTTGGGCCATAGTTTAGAGCTTATGGCTTGTTTTAGCTAATCATAGCTAAGATCAACCACACTTTAGAATTTTGATGATGCAGTAAATTTTAATTAATCAAAACTGAAAGCAAAGCATTCAATTTCTTCTTTCTGGCTGCACTGGATGAGCAGAGCAGAGCCAACTCTGAAGCTCACTCTAGTTTCTTCTCACAACACTAAATCATATAGTCCTTGGCTACCAGTTTGTCAGTCTACAAGCTTCTGTCTGTCGTCTTTGCAAGCTACTGGCTGAATTTGTAGTTTCG